CCCCAAAAAATGTTAATAAGTTGAAAAATTATATAAAAAAAAAAAACGATTCTTCCGATCGAGTTTTGAATGAATTTCGTACAAGCGGAAAAGCTCTTTGTTCTTTCAAGGGGTCCTTCTCATCCCTTAAACAGACAATCTAAAAACTTTTGCTGGCGAGAAGATACGCTTTTTTTTTATTGCCGGATTATTTTCTTTTTCGTAAACAATCTCTTCTCCAACGTACAGTTTGATCTTTTTCACGATCAGTCTTTCCAATCTGTTTTCCCATCCGACGTCCAATTTAGTAAATATCCCCTTTAATTGTACGGGATTTTGTTATTGAAATAAATAAAAAGAATTACATATAATCCTACCGTCACGAAAAACGCGATATATATAGAAAAATATAATATATAGGATGCAACAAAATATGATATAACAAGTAAGTTGTTTTGTAAGTTTGAAAATGTAAAACACCCTACAAGCGATAAGCCAATCTTCAACATAAATTTCAGAAGGAAAACTCCTTTTCCGTTTACGACGATTGAAATATAATTGAACGGAATAATGTTGAAAATAATATTACATTTTTCAAATTTTTTTAAAACAATCAAGATATTTGAGAATCTATTGGAAGTATGGGGGACCTGAACTTACCTACCATGATTTTTTTTCAGAAATCCAAAACTGAAATAATAAACAGGATGTTTTATTTAAAATTAGTCAGTTAGGGAGATACCCTGTATAATGTTGTTTGTTCATCCATGCATTTAAATTTAATAAATTGTTCTATGTCTAGTGTCTATTCAAGATAAAGACCTGAATATAATAAACAAAAATCGCAGCGTAAAGTTCTTGCGTTGGATTTACTGACCGGTAAGCAATAGTTTTTGAAAGTAAGGTGGCATAAATACACCAGAATAATGAGTGTCTGTCAAGTTTCCCCTACATATACATTTTATGTAACAATATCCACATTGCACAGCTCTGTGCAAAATAAGCTTTTTAATGGGGGAGTAAATTTTATGTTTTTCCCCAGCAAGAAAGTATTAATTTGGTTGAAGTTGGGCAGGAATTTTGAAATTTTGGAAGGTCATTAACCTTCACCAAAGTTGCACGAAATTGCAAGAATATCGTGTGAGAGAGCAGAAGAATTTCTTTTGTTTGTGGGGGGAAAAATTCAAGTTTGCCCTTCATTATAAGGGTAGCTGATTTCATTTAAAAAATGTATATAAAATTTTGTTTGGCGTATGCAAAACGTGCGCATATTTTGTTTATGGCGACATCGAAAATATATCGGGGAGAAGCTTGGCGGACAGACCGAATAGACATATGATTTTAAATTGGCAAGAAGAGTGGCCTGTCATTCACATGCCCAAGCGTTATTGCATTATGAAAACCTTTTGAAAAATTTTCTAAACCACAACTACATAATTAGTATAGTATACTACGTAATGCGAGAGAATTATAAAACCCTTATTGAATTGTAAAACTTAATGGTTTTAAGAGTATCCCATGCCTATGATGATTGTCAACTATCCCGAGAGTGTCAGGTAGGTAGTTGACCTATCCGGGTCTTAGCTCTTAAAATTATAATTATTATTACTTTCCGGCAGCTGTTGCCAAAGTTCAGACTTTACTTTACTTTACTTAAAAAAAGAAATGCCTACATTGCACAAAATAATGTTTAAAATTAAAAAAGATGATTTCATTTCACCCATGGGTAAGAAGAAATTGTGAAAAACTTTGAAGAAAATGAATTTTCGTGGTGAAAAAAACTAAAAACAGATCGTCACGATTAACAGAAAAATAGGAATTTATCTGCTAGTGCGACAATATTTAAAAACGATTAGACTCGATATTGAAGGGAAACATAAATATCTATTATTTGGACGAAACTTGGATAAATGACGGATATATTGTTGGTAAAACATCCTAGGTTGTTCCACTAGAATAAAACCAGCATTCGCAAAAGGTAATTAGTCACATTGGTAGCAAAAACGTAATTGTCGGTGGCAGAGGGGGCGTAAGACGTGGGCGACGCGACGTGGGCCACCGCCTACGGCCTCGCGATACAAGAGGCCTTGCGCCTCAAAAATTTTTAAGCATTGCTTTAAAGCGAGAATAAAATGAAAAAAGATATAAATTAATTTTGTTGTGTATGTATGTATAAATTCTTAGTCTGGCAACATTTGCCGCCGACCATTGCGGGGATTTCCTTGTTTAATTTGTTTACTTTTTTTACTAGGAAGGCAACCAATCAAATCAAAGTACGCAACGCAGTCGCTATATGCTGTACTTTTGGATCACATGTATCAGAGATCTCAGGGTTCCGAGCCTCTGAGGTCTCACGACATTCCCAGACTGCCTTGGCAAAAGATAGCTGCAGATATTTTCCAATTTCAATCAGAGTGTTACCTCTTAATTGTTGATTACTATTCAAAATTTGTGGAAGTTGTTAATTTGAATCAAACTTTAACCTCTCAAAATTTAATTAACAAATTCAAATCAATTTTTTCACGTTTTGGTATTCCCAAAATTTTAATAACAGATAATGCAAACAATTTTTTTCATAGAATTTAAGAATTTTTCAAAAAATTGGGAGTTTCAACATGTTACTTCTTATCCTTCGTATCCTCATTCAAATGCACAAGTCGAAAGGACGGTACAATCTGTTATAAACTTACTTAAAAAGTGCTTTTTCAATAAGGAAGATCCATATTTAGGTTTACTAAACTTTAAAAATACACCTTTGGATGGTGAGAACTCTTCAGCAAATGCTCTTATGAATCGAAACTTAAGATCTGTAGTTCCAGAGATAAATAATTAATTTTCAAAAAATTTCAACTAGAAAAAGTTTAATTCTCACATAAAAAAAACCATCAAAATCAAAAGAAATATTATGACAAAAATAAACAAGCTTTAGCACCTTTCAACAACAACTCTCTAGTAAAAATTCAAATAAAGCCTAAAACACCATGGCAAAATGGTAAAATTTTAAGAAAAGTAGCTTTTAGATCTTATTTGGTACAGCTGGAGAATGGCTCTATTTTTAAACGTAACAGAAAATTCTTCCATCTCGAAGCTCAAGAGAGACGAGGAGTTTTCCTGACTTATTTTCAGAAAATAATTTTCATAATAATAGATATTTTTTGAAAATAGTCAATAATTCAAACAAAAATTCAAACAAAATTCTCCTATACAGAATGATTCTGATAGAGAATATATACAGGCTGATCCTGGTGTAAGCAACAACTGTGGTAACAACTTAAATGTAAATAGCTGTAGTGACAATGACAGGCTTGTGAACTGTAGTTCTAGTTCTTTTTTAAATTCTAGTTTTATAAATTCCAACTCTGACAAAGAAAAAACTCCAAAGAATGTATTTAACTCTTTTGACAACTATAAATTGCAAAATTTAGTGAATAAAAAAAACTTTTAGATGATGCTAGTTCAACAAATAAAAAAATTGACGAAAATAATTTATTGTTAAACTCAGACATACCCAGCACTTCTAAACTCAATTTTTCTTAAAAAACTCCAAAGAAGGGGAGGAGAGTCGTAGAACTAGATCTGGACGAAGTATGAAAATTCCACTGAAACTCTCTGACTATGTCATAGACACTAGTCCAGAGTCTTAAAAAAATAATAATAATGAAGTTGTTTTTTTCTTGCTTATACAACTTTTGTACTCTCACACTTTACATAAAGTGAGAACTTCTTCTTTCATCAACTTCAAACTCACCTCACACAAGGTAACCATCATTATTTTAGTTTCTCGGTTGGTCCAAATAAAACTCAACTTCTCTTTATATATATAACGAATTATATTTTGTCAATGTAATAAATTTACTATTTAACTTTAGCTTTTACTAATTAACATTAATTAGAATTTAACATCAAAAAACCAATTTTAAATTTAAAATAAAATCACTGCAGCTATAAATTTGTCTGTCTACAGTTTTGTACATATATGTAAATTGACCATAAAAGTGATAGAATATTGTGATATTAGATATAACTTTGAATTGTTTATTAAACTGAGTCTGGTAATTGGTAATAAGTAAATAACGCAGTAATTACTTGTATATAAAATTATACGCATTACAATATCTTTTGAAGGAAACCAAAGCTTCAAGGGTAAAAAACGTATCGACTTTTTAAGTTTTTAAAACTAGCAGGTAGTAAGGACTATCTTAAAGATTTTTGTTTGAAAACTAATTTAAATTTAGGTTTTACAAATTGTAAATTACAATATTATGTAGATAAAACTGCAAAAAAATTGCTTTTGATTACAGGTTATAGATACGACGTTATCGACATGTCCGGCCGAGATGGAGATATTGGAAGAAAATGGGAGTCTGGATCAGCAAAACAAACAAATTCAGCCATAATCAGACAAAATTAAGCAACAGCACGATTTAAAGTGACGAACATAATTTTTTGCGCAATTACGCAATCCCTTTAAAAATAATCACTTAATCAAGAAATCAGAAACTGTCAATATTTTAAAATATGTTAACATGATATTTTACCATAGGTCATTGACCCCTATGGTGGTACCTTATACAACATGAAGAAAATATTTAAAATCTTAAATGATGTCCTGACTGCTATCCTGATTGCATAAATATCAGTGGCAGAATCAACGTCAGTACTATGGTGCCATAAGACTATAAGTCTCCTTTGAAAGCCAATATTTAATTTATTAGTATTGTTATTTCCACCTTTGTATTTACGAATTGTAATTTTTCTTTAATAGTAATCTTATTTGTATTTTTATGAATAAAAACTGGACAGTGTTAATTGTTTTATTTCTTCAAATCCGTCTTCAGGTCGCCATAGAACAGCGCCTCGCGAAATCTGTCTTGCCCACACCAAATTTAGGTCTTGCCCCGCCACTGGTCGGTGGAAGCTCACTAATACATCAGTCAAAATGGGCTGGAGTAGTTTTTTAACACTACTTCCAGAAAATCCTATTCCTAGCTAATACTCAAAAAGTCTGAAAAATTACTCACTTCTTCTTGGAAAAAAAGATCTGTTGAAAAAGGGACTGCTGGGGATTGTAAATTTGAATAAGCCTCTTCGTACGAAATTTGTTACTGAGAAAATCGCCTCATCGCCATCACCGCCATATCACTTTGAACTAAACCCCTTATAGCAAGGCATAATACCACTTTTGATATGCTAGAGAACACTGTAAAGAGCCTTATTATTTCTTTGTATTCGGTATTATTTATCTAGATTTTTCTACTTTCATATTATTCTTACCTCTATATAAGTTTTTATTTTTTGCTTGCTTGCGTAAAACTTATGCTTTTGTAGTCAGTTTCACTAAAAGATGTTATAGAAAAATGTGTCAGAAGCATATTTTTCCACTTTGAAAACATAAAGAAACAAATAATATTGCCTGAACTGTCCCAATGAAAGTTAAATGAAGTGTGAGTTACTAGTTTTATTAAATCAAAAAAATCATCGTAACTCATTTCTACGACTTTATAAGGAGTGTTAATCTTCTGCGCGCTTTTTACCAATATTACATACTCTGCAACGATCACAGACACACTAGGTTATGTGCCGGTTTTGCCGGTAATATTGTTAAAAAACGCGGGAAATTCAATAGTGGCACTAACTCCCTCTTGCGGAACTGAAGTAAAATAACTATATGCCGGTATTGTTCGTTGTTAAAATACCAATGTGCCAGTTTTATGGTACAATTAACTAAAAGCAGCAATTTTTTGATATGTGAGCGAGAGCGATAAGCGAGAGCGATAAGCGTGAGCGTAAGAATTGCAGAAAACTTCCAATTGAAAGAAATGGAATACTTGCCGCTGCTTTTAAATACTTTTTAGCGCTGGAAAAGGCCAAACCATCGCACTGATATTCGTTGTCACAACGGTTGATATTCAGCTAACAGGATTTAAAACGACGTCGATTCGTTCTGGCATTAATTAGACAAAAGCGCTTTAAAATTACGTTTTCAAAAAGCCGCAAAACGCAATCACAAAAGTCGACGTCGGAGAGCGAGCAAATCGTTAATCTATTATTAAAAATAAATACATAATAATTTGCGAAAAAATTGCGGCCGTTGAAAAATGTACTCCATTAGTGGCAATTTAAATGCACAGCGGTCCCACTAAAAATCAATTGCTTTTTTCGGTCGTCGCGGGTGAACAAACCTGCATAGTTCGTTACCAACTCTTTGGCAACTAATTTAAACAAACATATCGCGATAAAAAGCGGTCGAAAAGAAATTGCGGTAATTCTAGAAAGTACTATTTGCCACTTTCCAATACAAGAAACGCAGTGCGTTTGACGGACGACGTCGCGGTTTGAAAAAGATAACTTGTGTTTCAACGGAAACAAAGAAACAATATAACGCTCGGTCGGACGAATCGAAATGACATGTCCGCCGTCAAATCGGAAGAAGGAACGGATGAACAAAAGAACAGGTCCAATTAAGCAACCAAGCGTGCACACTTTGTCTATGGCGTTTGTAATTATTGAACTAGATAAATTCGGTTTTTTGTCAAAACGGTTTTTCAACCGCGGAGCTTGGCTAAAACATTGCATTTTAATATAAAAGCCGACATGTTTGCACAATGGAGTCAGTTAACGACTACGAGTGTTCGAGTTATGTGTAGCCCGATGTGTCTTAAGGTACCTTTTTTTTTGTCAGACATTTCGAGAAACTTGTACTAGTGAAGTTTGTGTAGAATTGGAACCGCCTTAACGCACTGCAATTGGTCAGGGTTTAAGGACACTTGTCAGTGTCGATTCCATTTAACCAGCAGTGTGTAATCTAGCTTTAATAAGCGTTAACGTGTTTTTCTGATTGATTTGTTCCTTCTTCGAATCAAATCTAATTTGAAAAATATATTTCAACGAGAGGGCCGCTACTGTTTATTTAATTATCACCGAAACTAAATTTAAGGACAACAAAAGTTGAGAGATTAATTCCTTTGGAAAATACATCCACATTTTAAAATGAAAAATTTATAGTAAAAAGTTTGGATGTTGGACGTAGGTCAACAATCAAATCGATCAAAAAACAACGCATTTCCAGTCACTTTTTCGCTAGAATATATAGGACGCTGGTTGATAGCGAAAGGAAAAAATTCTTGGGCTTATTCTAAGAAAAAAAAAACACATATCAAAGTATGTCCTAGACGTTTGATATACAGGATGGTAACGTTTTCAAGAAAAATATATTATTAAATATTATTTAAGAACGACGATACGCATTTTTACAAAACTTTTTTTTCTACCAGTCTGCGATTAACAGATTTTCAAGTGTATATTTTCTATGGATAGTCCAATCATTTCTGCATAAAAGTTTAAAAAAAAACTTATTAATTTTTAACATTAGTTAGTAACATTAGCTAAATTATTGTAAGAATTGTTGTGAAATGGCCAAGTTCGCGTGACAATTCCGCCAGTTGTTTCTTAGAAAATACCCAAAAAGATTTTTTCTAAAAACTTTACCACCTTGTATCTCGAAAATTAAGACGTTCGGGATTTTGTTTAATGACTCAGGAGAAGAACGTATACCATCTTTTTTAATACATAATTTAGAAAACTTAATTTTTTGTCATTTATTTTTCCTCCAAGCCCTTTAATGCATAATTATTTAAGTCAATCATTCATTATAACTATATAACTACTAAAGATAAAGAGCAATTAGGAAAAAAAATTAGAAGGTTCATGTGCCCATTCGCTAGATTTAAAATCTCGTTTTTAACCAATGATCTTGCGGCATTCGTTACTACTACGGCAGTATTTTCTCAAAATATGCCTAGATCTCGTTAAATGTTTTGAGAAGACGAGTTAAGTGTGTAGAAATCGCTGTTTAGAAAGAAAAAGGCGCAAAGTGGAGGTTAGTGGGTGAAATGCATGGGCGGAAAAATTACCTTCTCTACCAAAATAGCAATGTCCGCCTGCGGCGCATCAATTTTTATGCTGATAGGCCACTATATTATCTAATAACTATATGATTATAACAATATAAAAAAAATCAATGAGATATTTAAGATATTATTAATACTACTGAACCCCAATCCCGGTTAAGAAAAATATTATAAATTTGTCTAGGAGTAGGGTGACGCCATCACACCTGCCCTGGAGACGGCTATATAGATTAAAATCTACAAGTGTGAGAACACTCTAGTTAGAGTTAGTCTATGGTTTAACCATAACAACTAGCCATGGTAGTCTAGCGAGAGCGCCAGTGAACACAGTTCGTAGAGTGACTTGTGCCATTGGCTTTGGTCTATTGAGAGTGTGATTGGAAAAAATCCACTTACTTGCCTTTTTTCTATCTAATGTTTAACGTGCAGTTTTCTTTTCCTTTTAATACATAGCTGTATTTTTAAACTAATTAAAATAATAGCAACTGTGGGGTAAACGTGCAATTTTTAGAAGCACAAAAAAATCGAAATCACCGAAACTCTCTCCGTACAATCTCATTCTGGCAGTTTACACCCTCAATAGAAAGGAATCGAATAGATTCACTACCAGTAAGTCCAAGTATACCAGGGTAATAATATAAACAGTGTTGAAGAGCGATAGATTCTATCTAGCTAAAATACGCTAAATGTAGCTAGGCTTCATCTACAGTGTTAACGTATCTTTACAGTTTGTAAGGAATGTAGAGCGACTTTATGTACGTGAAAACACTGAAGACTAGAGATGGGCAATGTTCATCCCTAGGAACCGATCTTTTTCTATTAAATGGGACTTTATAATTTATCTGCAAATTTATTTGTGTAAAACAACAACCTAAGAACTTCAGTTTCTTTACCATAACAGGGTTTAAAAAGTTTTTCATCACAACAACATCAATTACATATTACAAATACATAAATTACATAAATTAAGTATAAAACTACTTTAAAAAATCGTGATTTCTAATTTACTCGCGTAAATTTCCATCGGTTGTCAATATGAATTCTAGAAGTTGCTTTTTATATAGATTTTAGAAATAAAAATGGTTCAATATTCGTTTTACGCAATATTGCATTTCTATGCTGACACGCGGAAGTACCGCCTGATGTTTCGCAAAAATGTTCCCGCAAACGGCATGCGTTTTAAAAATAGGCACCTTTCAAGGTATGCACATATCATTCCGAAAGACAAAGCGATCATTAAGCTAATAATTTCTTAAAATTGCTGAATAAATTTTGCAATTAACTACACGTCACAGTTGTTATTTTTCGCTAATCGTGTGCGGTTTGTTAACAGATCCGGTATGCACACATCAATGGTCGCCGAGATCGCATTTAATTGTTATTTAAAAATATTAAACCATTTAGTTAATTTTCAGTCACAGTCAAAAGTAACTGAATGTAAATATCAGTCCGTTAAGAAAACTACATGATGAAAGTAGAAAATCTTTACAATGTTTACTGATCATATTTTCTCATCCAACAATAATAAAAATTTGGGAGTTTGAAATTTCTATATATAACTGGCAAAATATTTCAGCAATACTTGATAGATAGATAGATAGATATTTATTTCGCTTTTCGATACTACATATAACACATATATGGGTGTATGTATGTATCTCGAATATTTTGGATTAAGTATGAACAGGAGCTTAATTTGGGCAATATGTTGTCGATGTGATGATTCCATGTAAGTTTGTTGTCAATGTGAAGACCGAGAAACTTAGTAGCCTCCACGTTTTCTATTGAACGTCCCTCTAATTGGAGAAGAATACTGGAATCAACGCGAGTATTTTTTATGACTATTTCCATAGCTATTGACTTAGATTTATTTAATTGTAGTCCGTTATCGCGACACCATTCACCCTCGTGACCCTTGGTTCTGCGGTCCCTTTTAAATAAGCTCTGCTTTTATCTGTAACTAAAATGCTTGTGGATTACTATCTACTATTACAATTAAAGATACAAAAATACTCAGGAAGACGCAAAAATGTTATGATACGCACTAGAAATATCATCACAAACATAACCTTTCAAAATGATTTTTAAAACCCTATTTGTTCTAAAATTGTAACTTTCAATACCACTTAACAAATACGATTTTCGTGTAATAAGATTGTAGAACATTTGAAAGATGCCTTTTTATGATGGTTTCCTCAAAATATAGATCATTTTTTAACTTACAGCTAGCGTTGTTAGTTTGTTAATTCCTTCATTTTAACTTTAGCTTGGTATTTTTCGGCGATATTTGTCAAAATATGCCCAAGGGCCCTGAAATTTTCATCAAAAAAACGAGTTACCGTTTAAAAAACGGAGAAAACTGTACTATAAGCATTTGCAAAAGATTATTAGATCGTAGACAATATCTCATAGCCGCTTGAGTAGTGAACTTGCCGCATAATCGACAAAAACTACATACTTATAATACATTCACTTTTGAAGCCAACATAGTAAACGTTGAGAAATATGCTCTCGCGCAAGAAATTTCGCAATTCGCTTTCAACTTATAAGACATTTCAGCGTTGAAAAACGCCATGGCTGCTTTGACAATTCGACAGTTTTCAGTTTTCAGCATAATTTAATAAAAAAATTGTCTTAAGGGTGTGAAGGTTGTTATTTAAAATGGATTGGTATGAGAAATTTAAGACCATGAGAATGTGGACGAAAATGTCAACCCTTGTTTTTCTTTTAACTTTTTTTTCTAGCAGTGTATTACTATTTCACAGTTTGCGATATTGGCATTTTCGTGCCTGGGTGGTTTGGCGGCTCACGGAATACCATTGAAGGATAAGCGGCAGGTAGGAGTGGGAAAAGTGGCGACGGTAAACTCACAAGTGGATCACGCTCCGGCGGAATCTGGATTTCTAGGATTAGCGCAGCCTGCTGCCGCACATGCTGGAAGCAAATACTTTCAGTAAGTCGAAAATGTCACGCTTGTGTCAGGCCCGGTTGTACAAGAATCGTTTATCCAATGTGAATTTTTCTTAAGGCCGATAAATGTTAATCAAATTGAATAAATCAAATCAAAATGTAATATTATCTGAGATCCTGAGAGCAAAGTGCATTTTAAAGAAAAGTATTTTGAGAAAATATTTATTAACAATGACAATTGAAAGTAGACAATAGTGAAAATGAACATTAGCTTATTAATGTAAATATTTTAGAAGTATATAAAACAGTATTGAGATGGGTCATTTAATATGCGAATGCGCGATTTTTTGATATCTTACTCAACATGGCCGCTGATGACTGTACTTCACTGTATACGAAAAGAAGAATTAATGTCAGAAGTGCCGTACTTAGATTTAAAGTTAAAGCTAATAATAGATTGGCGTAGATCAAAATTGGCACTGCAGTGAAAAATAGCATCATTTTAAGTGCTTGAAATCGAGGTATCTCTATTTACTATTTTAAATTAGAAAAGATAATTTTTATGTAACTTTTAACGTTTTATTACAATATTAAAGAGTAGAGTGAAGTCATTTCTCGGCGTTTTCTGGGTAAACATGGTTTTTATTTATATCTCTTAAATTCTCGTTTCTGCTTTCGTGACGTCACTTTACTTTCTATCATTTTCTATATTTTATTAAGAAATATTTTTTAACTTAATTTTTGAACTTTATTTTTCCTATTTAGATTAATTTTTATGCGCAAACGCACTTTCTGTTTCTTTGGGAGATAGTTTGACAACTTCAATTAAAATTAAATTAATTTTGGTAAGAGAAAACAGTATTTTAATAAACTTCTTCTAAACTCACTGTTTTTGCTCAACCGGGCCTATGGTTAAAAACGGTCATCAAAAACAACATTTGGATCAATATTTTCGTGTACCTATAGGGATATGTACGTCGCTCAACACAATCCGAAAGAAATCGAATTCGGACATGTTTGCGAAAACCCTAACGACTGGGAGCAGCGATTCGAAAAGATTAATCTGGAAAACCTTAATCGACAGGGAAAGGTTAAATATTCATAGTTACATCCATAAGATCCGCAATTGTGCTTCGAATCAAGTGAAATGTTTAATATCACCCCTACGATAGGCGGCGTCGCAAGTTCGACAATTAAAATAATATTATACAGAACTCAGAATGTCATTTCCGATCAAAAAGTTACTATTATATTCCCATTCCTTACAGTTTTCTGCTAATTTTCATTTATCTAATTTTTGTGAAAAAAAAACTGTTTTCCACGCGTTTGGTTGGTTTTTATTTAAATATTAGATATAATATGAACATTATAATAGTATTATCTAATTGAATGTGGAAATTTCAGGGGAAGATTTTAACACCTGTTAAAAAATTATTTGCTTTTAAACTATTTAACACCTTGTACCTCAAAAGTTAAGACGTTTAGGATTTACGTCTATTCGAAATGTTCTTAAAATTGACTTAAAACCCACCATATTAAATATTAACATTCAATTAAAACGCACCTTGTATATTGCAAAAACCAACAATTACATGTTACACGCATTTGAACTATGGCGACTTTACTAAATGAAACAAATTAAGCTTCCATTCCATGCAAGGCTTAGGATCTTACGCGTCATTAAAATTTAAAACTACTCTACTACCTGGTGTAAGACAAAAATGCTTCATTTATTTTCATGGTTCGAACAAGTTTTTTTTTTGCAAAAATCAGAAAAAAAAAACAAAAATTATAATGAAACAGGATAAATGAATGAATGACGTATGAGACCTGTATAATAAAAATAAATGACTATCCTCGTAACAATTTGCTGTTCACTTGAAGTGACTATATTCTTTTTGATATTATCTCCTAGGAAAGCAGTGATGATTCCGTTTGTTGAATTGTCAAAGCCGCCAAAGTATTAACGATAACGATTATTGCATCGCATTTTCCGCTGCTTTCTGCCTGATAAGAAATATTTATATCGCAACAGCTTAATCTGCCGACCAGTTATAAGCTGCGCTAATTGAATTGTAATTGATGCTTTTTAACAACTAATTCATTGCGTTTTTTCGCCGCTTCTCGCTACCACTAATAAATCTTCTTTACTAACAGATATATCCATGTGCCTGCTAAAGACCACTATGAACACGGACACAAAAGAGGCAACGAGCACCATTTCATTGAACGCCACGAAAAGGGACACCCGCACGCTGGAGAGTTCAAAAACAAAGTAATAATTTTTGCTAGCAAACTTTTCGTATCGAAGAGTGGGATGATTTTTAAGTGCATAATTTTAAGCTTCATAATTAACGTCCTAGAGGTCTTAACTTTTCAGATACAATCATTGCGGTCCGAGGCACGCCGCTGTCTTTTCCCACTATAGATAATTTCGACATACTTATTTTTAGGTTATGCTTTTATTTTAAGAGAAATCGTCCCCTTAAATACCGACATTTAATTATCATAGTACTCAAAATACTGTGCAGGAAAGCACAATTATTTGAACAGGTACTTTTTTATTAACCGTAAATTGCAAAGATACAAAAAAAGGTCGGATCATAAGTCGCACGTTCAGTGCTTGTCGGGAATATTAACCATTTCATTTGATTCCAACTACTGCAGTGAGTGAGTGTTGATAACCAGCCCAACTAAGAAAACCATTATACATGACGCTATTTACCCAAAGAAATTATAGTGTTCACTTGCAACTAAATTATTTTTCGACCACGTTATATACCTACACGGTGTCCAAGAAACGCTCTTCACATAAAACTACAAAAAAAAATTATGCCTATAAAAAATTTTACGAACTTAATGAATTATATAGTTTGTTTAGCTTTATTTACACTCGATAAAGGATTCCAATACAATAAAATATAACTTACTCGCTTGAACAATAAACTAAAAAGTGTTCTGGTTCATTGTTAATACAGCAAATCGTTTAAGAGAACAATAATAAAAACAAATTAATGTTGTGTTTTGAATAGAAAATGACCATTGATACACAACGACATGGTGGATGTGGGTAGAAAATTTCATCTTGACAGGCTTGCGCTCCAGAAAGCTGACGTTAGAACGCCTCTACAACCTTAAATAAGAACATATTTCTTCTGCTTTAAGTTTGATGTCTTTTATAATAGAGGGGGTGGGGGGATAATGTTATTTTTGTATCACCCGATTTGATTCTAACTTGATGTAGCATCTTGAGAACAGAATAAACCATTCTATTTATTGTTGATACGGACAAGCTGGATATCAACACCACTGTAAAATATGTCAACTTCAATCACTGGAAATAATAAGCAAAGCGTGTTAAAGAAACATGTCGAACTTAGGTAAGATGGGGTGATAAGCACGGAGGGTACGGTGAACATTACTGGGACTACAATCACGCCGGCCACCACGATGGTAGTGGAGAAGAAAGCCAACAGAGCGAAACTTACGAAGAATACGAAGAAACCAAAGACGCGCCCAGAATTCTACCTGCATCTATCAGAGGCAAGAGAAATCCCGACGATGAAGTGGAATTTATCAGCGAAAACGCCCGATCCGCTATCCTCGACGGCAGAGCACCCAAGCATGGTGGTAATTACAGAAAGGCCAAAGAGTACAGAGCCAAGAGGCAACCGGCACAACCCAACAGTGAAGATTTAGTTTTCGATACAGAAACTGGTTACATTGTTGATAAAACAACAGGGGTACACTACCAACTTCAGGCGGTTCCAAACTAATTGAGGCATTTGAAAGACTTTAGGGTTTGCGGAGTGCAGGGGCGGGGATTTTGCCATTCACCCTATTCCTTATCTCGCCCTTTGTATCCCGCGAATTATTGTTTTTGTTGACTAGTTCTAGGGCTTTACTTTTTAAAACAATAAAATTTTATATTAGACATCAAACTTTTTATTTACGCGACAATCAAATTTTTATGGTTATGGTAACAATTATGGTGGATTCATGCGAGCATCCGTTATCATTAATTTAACATTAACATTTAAATTCAAAAAACAAGAGTTCACAGAAAGTATCAAATAATCCAAACATTTTTTTCAGTTTGTAGTTATAAATTCAAAAAGTGGGTTGAAACCACATAACTATACAAAAATATAGTGGGCTCTACTCCCGTAAAAATTGATGCGCCGCAGGTGGTTATGATTTTTTGCGCATACGTCACCCCCTAACTGACTAACTTGCTACATTACCGTAATTTTTCTGGAAAATTGACTAATTTTTATAAAAATCCGAATCCGAACATACTTGGCTACGCCGAGCTCAGTAATTACTATTACTAATAACTAATAAAACTGAGATTCATGAAGCACATGCGCATATTTGATTTCACGAAAGAAATTAAAAAGTTAAGCGTTGGCCAATATCAATGCTTTAGTGTAGTTGCACGTCTATCTGCTTTCGCGTAAATTTTAAATTAGTGTTATTGCCAATGGATGCTTGCGTGAAACCACCCACCAGTGGCGTACATATAAGCTACCATGTCTAATAAGGCATATGTACAGATTAATTGATTGAGGAAACAGAATGAACACCCAATATGTTATTTGTTCAAATAACATTGAAAAATCTATTTCTAGGCATTAAAATGCCATGATAATTTTGAAACACATAAGAGACGGTCATAGAAGGAACAAGTTCCTATGATGGCAGCACCCTCTTGGTCAAATTTTTCTACTTCCTTTGAGTCTAGGTGACACCAATCTACCCCATATGATATGTTTGCATGTTCATAATAGCTATGAGTTATCTCCATTTCATTTTTAAACGGATTAATAACATGAACTCCACCCAACATGCAGGCACTTAACAACAACTCTTGCGAAAAAGGATCCCATTTCAACTTCCAAACTGGCCCGGGCATTTTTAGAGTTTTTTGAGGGGTCTTTAATGACCTTATATCCCAAAGTCTAACACTCTCATCATAACTAAAATTAAATGGTAAAGGTGACACCCAATCACAATTCCCACTATTAATTCACCTTCCAGTAGCAATAACATATTCATTGGATTTATTAGAGTGAACTGCAGTAACGCCAGTTTCATGCTTTTTATTCACAGTTACGGGAATGTCTCCAACCCTTTTGTCAAACTGTAAAAATAATGCATCATCACCTCCACTAAATATAATATTCGGATCCCAGTAGTAAAATGCTGAAATCCAAGCCTGAAAATCATGTGCATTCCAACTTTTCTCAAGGTTTAAACCGCTATTAAGCAACCTAAATAAGTGAATTTTACCATTTGAGTCACTGCACACAATGTTTGGCTGACTGGATTCATATTTACCAGTCGACCAGTCAAGAGATAAAACAATGGTATCACCAACAATATCCCTAAACTTATAATGAGTTAAATTTATTAACTTATTTATTTTTAATTGGTATATATCAACAGTTTTTTCTGAACCGGCAATACCTAGTAGAGACACGTCACAAATTTGATTGTGGCACCATTTTATATCTAACACTCCCGCAGTATCAAGTTGTTGCAGAACTTCTAAACCACGATGTGGAGAAATAGAAAACAGCAAGATGCGCCCCAAACGTTTGTCAAGAGTATTTTCTAAAACAAATGATCTATAAATCTCACAAAATTGCTATTTAAGAATAAGGCACCTTCCGTTCCTGGCTCCGTATACTGGTAATTTCCACAAACAAATAAGTGCTTGTTGGGGTTATGTGGACACCACTCGATACAATCTGCAGTATATTCAGTGGAAAATGTATATATAGTATTAACACATTTCTGCTGAGAAGAAACAATTTTGTTCGTCATCTTATGTTATTATTATTATTATAAAGTAATTTTAGTTGTAGTATGTAGGTTCTTCAGTAAGGTTCAGATCTTAACTCATAGACTGCGCGGCAAGTGAGATTAGCCCAAACGTCGCCGCCGCTTTCCGATTTTAGTTATAGCATGTTGAACGTTTGTCGAGTTTCTTCATACAAAACATAGATGGTACCGCAAGCACAAACATTCTTCTTCGAAGACCCAATAGCAGCGAATAGATGCCAGAAATAAGATTCGCCTTAATTATACCGCTATATTCCGAGCTCTGTTTATAGTTACAGTTTATTTCCGCTAGTTGAAAACATCGAATTCAATTGCATTTTTATTATATAATTGTTACTTTATTGTTGGGGAATTGTACTCTTGTTTTCTCGAAAATTCTTATATTACGGGTTTAAGCGGAAATCAAATACGCAAATAGTTGTCCATATGGTGGCGCTGTTTTATAAATAGCATAGAAGTAATGAATAAATGTCTTTCTAATTATTTTGCGTTATTCGTTTGGCCTAGCATGCTTTTTAAATAATTTACTTAGGACTCTTTTGCTGTGTGGAATTAAAGACAAGGTGTAAATAACAAGCAGGTTGATTTTGGGTATAAGCCGCTATTAATTAAAAAAAACATTTTTCTCGACGAATATTAGTAATGGGTTGGTCGGTGAACAACACGAATCGTTAACCTTATTTGTATTAAAGTTTAAACATGCTGTAAATCGTTAACCCCGCACGTATTAATGTAGAGTAACTGTAGTACTAACTGTCCGAATGATCTTAGCAACCTGGGCCAACAGATGTAAAGAAGAAGAAGAACCTTCTAAACCGACCATAATCATAGAAGTCGTGCCCAACTGTTTTAGTGAAAAGCATCGTTGAATTAAATTGAACCGACCACCGTTTAATCAACTCTCCAAACTACAATAAATCTTATTTAAAATATCTTCCACATTATCCTCGACAAATAAACTGCTAAAGTTGAGGTCACAATTTAAAAACTGTTCTAAAACGAATTTAATCTGTTTTAAATCAAATAATATGTGATTAATACCAATAATGTGACCATGAAATAATACTCGCAACGCTTTATTTCTAAGCATGTCTACCCTTGACAAAGCAATAAATTTTAAAATTTCTAAAAACTTTTTGTGATCCATTCCGAATAAAGCATTCAGCATTACTTGACAATGGTTTTCAAAATCCTCCATTTCTTTACAATGTTCAATTTCTTTAATAACATTACTCAAATTATGATTTAAGGATTCCCACACAGTCAGAATGTTGCAACCATTAAACCAATTATGATTTATTGATATTGTATCTTCCAAGTTCCACACTTGATGATACCAACCAGAAGGTATGAATATCGCCTCACCGGGATTTTGTATAACTTCCATGCAATTTATAGAATCTCTCATATTGCTGATGTCATAAGGTAAATTTCCAAAGTTATCCTTTAACCTATTCTCCTCCCCTGGAGGGAGGATCAACCATTTTTTTTGTCCACAAACATTAGCTGACCAGCTATATGATGTAAAGACATCTGCATGGAATGGTGTCCTTAAAAAAGCAACACATTTTTATGTGTCAAAAGTAGTAATTAATAACTTGCACATCTCACCAGCTGTTTTTAGGCCCCAGATACACAAATCTATAATCATCATTTTCGCACTTAATATAGTACTCATTTAACCAATCAGAACCAAAATATATAGGTACTTTATAAAACTCATCACTTTTAGATTGAAGTTTTAGGTGCCAATCTTTCAAATACAGGCATTTATTATTTCTTTCTTTATTCCAATAGTTTAAATAATTTTTCAAGATATCATTGTTTGACTTTTGCGAGTTAAAAAATCTTTGGGAGCAATTATAAACGCACACTGACAAACTACCATATTTCTCTTCTAAGTAATTGATATTGGGGACCTTATTTTCCACCCATTTAGAGGAGGCTTCCCAATTTTCGGTGACATTTCGTATAATGCATGGTACATTGGCTTGAAGCATATTATGGAAAAAATGATTGTAAGAAACTTCTCCATTTCTTAAAACAATTACATTGTTAGCGTCTTTACGATTATCAACATTTTCACACACATCAATTTCAAATTCCATTTTAACCACAATTGTAAAATAGGTTCTTCCTTTAAAACAGAGTTGTTAAGGCCAATCGACAATATTTCGAAATTTACTAATTTTTTTGTTGAAAAGTCATTACCACAAATTTCGATGTTTTTTTGTATATTTGTTGAGCAATGCAACATAAATGTATTCCTGGCCTGATCTCTCATGAACAAAAAACCGCCGATCTAACCTCAGCCATCATGCATTTACATTATTTTAGTTGATGATGTTGGTACAACTGTTAAATTTCTATATTTGTGTGTGTGGCAATAATTTATTTACAAATGGTGGGTATTTAAACTAGTTGGAGCCCTTTACCTTAAAATTTTTAATTATTGGTCTACCGCATTGTTTGCAATGGTAGAAAATGATGAAGACTATAATTCGGGTGATAAGGTCCCGACAGTAGCGAAACGAATTTGTCTAGGTTTCCAAAGTCAAGACAGACATGTTAGAAAGCAATGTTACAAACACCTTCACAACTTATTGAAAAACAAAGAATTGACCAATGAAGATTTAAAAAATGTTTACTGTGAAACTCACATGTACTTCATCAATGGTTTGCGGGATAAAACGGAAACCGTTCGAGAAGAAGCCATAAAATTTGTTACCTATTTAGTTGCAGAACGACTCCCTTTAAATGATTTCTACTTAACCTATATAGTTCCTGTTATTCTCGAACGTATAGGTACAGTAGAATTGGTAGAAGAATCTGAAGAGATTAGACTTCAAATGCTTCAACTTTTGGAAATTATTATTAAGAGATACACAAATACTCCACAATTAAAGCCATTCTTAAATGATGCTGTCTTAATTTTGTCAGAGATTGTGAAAGATAAATATCCTGCCATAAAGGAACTTGCTTGCAAAACTGTCGTAGAACTAGCCAAGGCATTACCTAGAGATTTTCATATGCAAGCGGAGAGTTTATTACAGCCTGTGCTGACATGTTTTTCTCACCAAAGATACAAAGTAAGAGTAGAAGCCATTAAAGCTGTTGGAGAGATTATTATGCATAGCAGTTATAATGGTAACCAAGTAGTATTCATTTATTCATGGTCCACAATTCTTTGTTTTCAGGAATTGATCAAGTAGTAGTTCCCATGGCTGAGAAACTTTTTGACCAAATTCCAATTGTACGACAAACAGTGGCACAAGAAGCGGCTCGTTGGCTGCTGCAACAGCGTGATAGATACTCATTTTTCCATAAAATGCTGCCTTTACTCCTAACTGGGTTAAATGATGAAGTGGAGTCCACTAGAATAGAGGCGCACAAACTCTGGGAAATGGTTGGGCTCCAGTATCAGCAAGAAAATGAAAAAGATCTAAAAGATAAAATGGATTATCTGTATGAAGTGCCCGATTACTATCCAAAACATTTGAACAGACCAAACCTGGGCTGTAGAGTCTTAGTTCAAAGGAATGTCAGCAAAATTGCAGGGGGTTTAGTTAATGAGTTGACAAGTTGGCAGGAAGATATTAGAGTTCGTTGTAGTCAGTTGTTATGTTCATTAGTCTTACATGCTGAGGAAGATATCACATTTAGTCTGCAAACATTATTACCTCCCATGTATTCTGCAGCTAGGGATGATGATGAAAGAGTTGTGGCCAATATAATACAAGCAAGTCAAATTGTAGGACTTTTTGTTGATGTCAAAACGTGGTCAAAATTGGTACTGCCGGTCATTGAAGATGGACCACATTATGGACACTTGATTGTTCTTACTGGGTTAATTGGTGGGGCACGTACTGAGACTATTTGCAGTTTAGTGTCGAAAATATGTCAAATTTTAGCGGAGGATCATATATGTTGTAGTAGAAAGGTAGGAAAAATTTTTACAATGGAAAATTTTCCATTTTTTGGTACATTTGTCTTGTAGAAACAATATCAATTGGAACTTTTGAGATGTATTAAAATTTTGATGCAAAAATATACCTCTTCCCCTGAGGACAATGCGGGTTACAATTTCTTTAAAATTATTACCACTCTTATATCATTGAAAGATCCCGAAAATGTCGATATTAATTTACAACTCTATGAGGATTTGGCCACGCTCTTGGATTTGGCAAATAAAGCGGACCTTTTCTGTCGATATATGAATCCACTGTTGCTTCATATTAATAAATCTCTAAAATGCTGGACAGCCATTACCGACAACGCATGCATTTTTCTGACGCTGATTAGTGAATCAAACGATGCTTTTGCGACCAATCAGGAAATATTGGGGGATATGCTACATGAAGTATTAGATTCTGAATCTGACGCGGAGTTGAGACTGAAAGTTTTTTACACATTAGCAACTCTGTTTGACCATAAACGAGACATTTTTAGAAACAGCGATGGATTTTTTGAAAATTTAATTGGAGGTGCTTTAACAGGCCCAACTGAGAATTAAATTTATATTTGCTCAAATTTTTTTCAGACGTATTTGTTCCATCTCTAGTATGGCACGCGGGTTTCACTGCGGAATCTATAAGGACAATGGCGGCGACTTGCTTAAAATACTTGTTGATGCCGGCGGATAGTGTCAAACTGTTCTCCTCGAGGCAAGGAATCCGTTCGCTTATGGATAAATTAATACCGCTGTTACTGTCGTTGGTAGAGGACGCTTCTTACAGAAGCCGGCAAGTGGCCATCGAGTGTTTGACATTGCTTAAAGAAATTTCTGCGAAAGAAGATCTTTGGTTAAACGATGACTTACTGAGGATCTACCCGGGTAAATTAAGAAGTCTAAATATATAGAAAGCTCAGAATTCTGATTTTTAGAGGTTTTAAAACGGCTTGATGATCCTACGGAAAAAGTTCGTACTTGCGCTCTACAAAATTTGCCCCGATTGTTTAACGATCCGCCTCAGGAGTTTCTCTTACCTAATTTCAAGGCACATAGGGAATTGATTATCGATACCCTTTTAACGCATTTTGACGATGATGAAGAAATGGTTCAAGCTTTGGTTTTTGGTAAGCGGTATAATTATTAGTTTATAATCCGAAATGAAGGGGTTGTGTGCCCAAAAGGATTGGACTTTGATAAAAAATATATAAGTAGGTATATGTAAAAAAGATATAAAAATATTAACTTATATATTTATCAAAAAGTTTATGAAAGCTTCTGAACGAAAAAAGCAATACAAAAGTATATATACCGATATACCGTTTTTACATCCTGTTATATTTTTGACTTCGGAATGAGTTTAAAACCGGTAAAGCGAAAGGGGCCATTCTTTTCAGCACGTGTGTACCAAGCCAGGGCCGTATTTAAGCCGACAAGAACTGTGCCGTGCAGACTATTGTCTTTTAAGAGTAGGGAGATTTTTGTTTATTAAACTGTGATATGAATTTATATTAGTGTGCCTCTTGTAAATCTTACTAAAACACCTCGCCAAAATTTAGTTCTGGGGCAATAGAATTAGAGGTGGAAAAGTTGGAAAATGCCGGATTATGTCGTAAAAACGGTATATCGTTCGGAGAACTCTACATACTATGCAATGTAGTAATTTAGTATACGGGGTTTTCTAATTAGGCTGGATCCATTGCTACCAAACTTTATCATTTGAAATAGAAAGGGTATGTTTTTATTCCATTTTTGGATTGCTCTTAAAATTCAAAGTATTTTTCTTTTAACATACCCTATACCCTAATTCAAAATGTTTTTGTAGGAATGACAAAAAACGAAAATAATGAAACTAGAATTTAATTTATGTAGGACATGATTCATAATTTTAACGGATTTAATTTAAATAATAATAAAAAATATTTAAAAACAATTAATAAATGTTCAAACTGACATCCGTCTGCTACGAGACAATGGCCTAAACGGTTTGTAAATTCTTGCACGGTGGTGTAGTTCGAATTTCGGCTCTGGATTTTTTTTTTGTACACTTTAGTTTTGAGGTGACTTCAAAAAAAAATCTAGTAAATTTAAATCTGGTGAATGAGGCGACCATTCAATAATCGCTCTTCGACCGATCCACCGATTTGCAAACATTTGGTTCAGGAGTATAATATTTACGTTCCCCATCTTGTTGAAACCATATGCTGTTATCGGCCATCCTTATTTCGCCATTTCTGATGTTCGCCGCTGAGAAAGCCATTGATATAGAAAGGCCAATTATTCCAACCTATACATGTAGCTTTTGAGGATATTGGATGGATTGAATATCGAACATTATTTTCGTTTTTGCCATTCTTGCAAAAACCTTCAATGCTTTCAATTAGACGCTGTCGCTGGTTTGACTATAAGTCAAAAATTGCTCGTATTATGATGCACAAGTAAAGTTTTGATTAGCTATTAGTCCGGGAGCCCTGGACCTTTATATAAAATGATAAGCAACAAGCTAATTCTTTGGAAATCGTTTCATTTCTCAAGACGCCTAACCTTTTCCTCTACGAAAATTGTTGTATCAGGTACCTAACTATACACGCAACCATACCAAAATGATCAGCAATAGTTTAGTTTTTAGCTAAATCTATAGATATTGAAATATATAATTTGAAATTAAATTTCGGCTACAAACAAATAGGTTTGGTATAGGGTGGCCCACCCCCTCAAAGTTGTATCTATTATTTATTTATAAAAAATGATAATTATAACAAATGATCACATTGACCTACAAATAAACTGGTTGGGTTTTTTTAGTCCTACACTTTAAAGTTATTATACAATTTTTTAAAAAACCATCCCCAACCGCCTAGATTTTTGTGAGTGGATTCGTTTTAATAAGACCCTATACCAAACCTATTTGTTTGTAGGTCAAATTTAATTTCAAATTATATATTTCAATATCTATAGATTTAGCTAAAAACTAAACTGTTGATCATTTTGGTATGGTAACTAAACATTGACGTGATTTTATACCTGCGTGTATATTTAGCTACCTGATACAACAATTTTCGTAGAGGAAAAGGTTGGGCGTCTTGATGAAATGAAACGATTTCCAAACAATTAGCTTGTTGCTTGTTGTCCAGGGCTCCCGGACTATATAGAGGCCCTGAATAATGCTAATATGAGAACAAAAAGCAACCATGAAAACATTTTGAGAAGGTCCATTCAACATGCGCTTCCGGGAGATTTAAAATTCGTTTTTAACCAATGAGGAGACTTGGCCAACAACCAACATGGCTGCTGACAAGCCGTCGGGTTTGGATGCGGCAGTATCTTATCAAAATATGTCCCATTAAATGTGGATTAGTAGAGAAGTACAATAATACTGAAACCCATTTCTTTCACAGACATGAATTTTCTGTCAGCGTGGTTGAATCCGCTTTTCTTTTCGCCTATTCTAGTTTTCTGTTAGTGTTAACTCTGATAACATTTAGGTTGTGTTGGAAGTTGTAGGGTGTTAAGCATGAACATGAAAAATTTATTGCAGCGAATATTTTAAGCTTCCAATTTATTGCGACATGTTGAACTGCCTTTAATACCATCCAATTTAAAAGGATATGTTTATGTTTCAGAAGTACTTAAAGTTGTCGGCCACATGAGCAAAAGCGAGTTAATTAAAAAAATCGAAGTACATCGCCCCTTATTAAGGAATCAAAAGGGGTGTAAGGATATAATTGAATTTGTTGAAACTTTATAAATTGAAAAACGATTTACTAAAGTTTTATAAGTTGAAAAGCGTATAACAGGAATTGCCTTCACCGTGAATGTTTTAGGATTTTCAGCATAAACCAATAGGAAAATAAACTTTCTCATTTTTATTGTAATTATCTTACAACAAATTGGATACAATCATCCATATATCCATTACACCTAGGTGCTTGTGCTCACTGTTGCTGGAGTCGCAGCGGCCTTTTCCTCCTCCTTCCTGTCCTTCTTGAGGGGTCCCATGAAGGAAGCCTTATCCGCGGGCGTTTGGAAACGACCGTGCCCGAATTTGGAAGATGTGTCGATGAATTTAAGATTGATCTTCTCCAACGCGATACGCTTGGTGTGCACTAACAAGGACTGCAAAAAATTTAAACTTATCGAGCCCCCCAACTTCGACCTCCCGCCGCTTCATTACCTTTCTTAAGGTAATGACGCGCTTCTTGGGACCCATGCAGCAACCCTTGATCATGATGAAATCGTTGTTAACTTCGCCATAATGGGGAAAGCCACCCATGGGAGTGATACTTTTCTCGCTTAGATCGTACTGAGTCGACGCGTTGTTTTTGATCACCTAAAACAAACGTAATAATTTGATAGATGGAGTCTAGAATGCAAACTCTACAACTTAACAACGCTAAAATAATATCAGTCCTATCATCTATAATCACAGAATAATATTTCATAATCCTTTTGGCTCAAATCTTATCATCACGTAAAATACATATCAAAATTATAAAAACGCATTCTGAAAACTTACTTTGCCGTCCTTGGTATGAATACCAACTCCGATACGGTATATCTTTTTGTTGATTTCGGTACGATGATGGTAACCTTTCTGACCTGCGCGGGCGACAGTAAAGGATACCCTCGACGGATGCCACGCCCCGATACATGCCACCTTGCGAAGACCCTTGTGGGTTTTGCGAGGCAATTTCTTGGTGTGCCAACGAGACGTAACGCCTGCGGACAAAAAAGGAAAACGATGCCTCGCATTTTAAAACCCCGAGACGGGCGCCACTACGGCGAAAAGGGCCGATCAGTAGGAAGGCAGCATGGTGGTATCTTCAAATTGAATCAGGAACATGATCCATGATCTTTCATCACGAAAAACATTTTCTCGAAAGTAAACCTAGCCTTATTTACATTTTCTCACCTTTGTACCCTTTGCCCTTGGTCACTCCGATGCAATCGATCATTTCGTCCTGAGCAAAGACTTGGCCAATCGGAATAGGTTTTTCCAGGTGCTCCCTGGCCCATGCGACTTTATCGGCAACTGTTCCGCCGTTCAGTTGGATTTCCATAATGTGCGCTTTCTTTTGACGCTGCTTCAGAAGCTTCATCTATCCAGCAAAGCAAAAATGTTGCAGAAATTTCAAAAAAAAAGGAACTACCGTGGACAATTTAATGCGCTAATTTGATAACAACCTAAGTTTTCATGGCTTTCCCTTGACCCACTTCAAAATTAAACCAATAAAATAAAACAGCTTACTGCTGTGACCGACTTGGTCAACATTTTGGCTGGTAGATTTCTACTCTGGGTTTTTTAAATAAATTTTTAGTAATAATAATTAAGTTTAAGGTTAAATTTTGCAGAGGCTTTGGAGCAGGTGAAAAATATGTAACTTCAATGCTTTCTACAATGTAAGGTCCACTAAATGTACTGTTGTCATATGAAGACCACTGCTGCTATATAACTTGAATAAAGTTATTAATACATCAGTTGCCTTTGATATATAAGTAACGTTCAATATATTTTAAAAATAGTAAAACTGCATATAGAAATCTTTAATTCTTAATTACAAATGCAAAAAATTCAAAATTGAAGAGTATTCTTTCTTTTAGTCAAATGCATGGGAAGCTTGATAATGTAACAGAATTTGGTCCCCTTAAATATATAAAGATGATTGAAAAAATTTAAACAAAATTCAACTTTCAAACACAGAAAAACCAATGTCAAACCAGGCTAGCAAAAACGGTACTGATTTTTATCACTACTTGAATTGTTAATAATCAATTACCAGCTTTAAATTGTCTCACGAAACATTTGTTGAGAATGTATGAAATATGGTTTAAACGGTGTCATCGTCCAGGGACTGCACCGATTTAAAACGGAATATACTTCATGCGCCTCCCGAAGGGCACATTATCTACGACAGTACGGGGAGAACCGCACAAGAAAGCGATTCCCATACCCGACAGCCAGAGGGTAAGCTCTAAACTGACCGCGTCGTATCATCGAGGGATAGCAATTTGACCTCAAAAACCCTAACTTTTTTAATTAGCATCAAACGACATTGAAGACAATTAATCTGCCATTCAAAAATATATTGAAAAAAAAAAAAAAAAACAGGATCACTTACCTGGGTGTGGGCAATAACCCGAACAACCTTGCAGTACTTGATAATTTTCTTGAAGTCTCGTTCAATTGATTTTTTGCCCAAATCATCGGACCACTTCTTAGAAGCCTTGGTGAACGCCTTCTTCTTGCTCTTGTACCTGATATTTGTGTATGATGTCAAATAAACGTTCGTTACTTTTAATGCCACCAATATCTGCAAGAACAAGGAGGGACTCGCCTCATAGTTTAGAGGAAGCGTTCAGTCCCCCAGCCTCACTGAGCCTATACTGTTAGATACAGGTTTGCTCAAATTGAGATGTTCTTTACAGTCCTCATGCAGCCAGAGGAGGACTTTGCAATAAGTTAGTGACATTTTCAAAGAAAAATATAAGTCAAAATCAACTACAACACTGAGTTCGGAGACTCACCAATTCTTGTAGAATCGTCTGCGACAGTCCTCTGACAAATGTTCAGCCCAAACAGTAGCTAAAGCTCTTAAACCGTGCGGAGTCTCAATATAACCTACAACACCTACTATGACCATTGGAGGCGTTTCCAAAATTGTCACAGCTTCCACAATCTCCTTTTTGTTGATCTCTGAAAATTTATATAAATATTTCACCGACAGTTACTATCTAGAGTACTTGCAGTAGTTTCAAAAACATTATGCCTTATTTAACAAGAGAACATCAAATTGACTTGCTTATTTATGACGAAGCCAGAAAAATATGCAATGGTGAAGGACTTCATTTCCGGCAAAACGCTGTGCGATATTCAATATCAACAACATTGCTAATTTTATTTATCGCTTGGCTAGTAATTTCATTGACAAAATTATTTTTTGAGTGAAGTTTTTTTTTAAGTAGAAAGCCGTTTTGCATTTGAATTATCTTTTGTAACTATTCCGCTAGTGGCCATTTTTTATGAGACCCCTCCCTCTCTTTTCACACTCCCACTTACTTGAACCAGGTCGATCTGCTTCACGAACCACGTGGGTCATACCAGCTTTATAGCCGATAAAGGAAGTTAAATGAACAGGCTTGGACGGATCATCCTTGGGGAATGCCTTTACTTTTCCGCGATGCCTGCGAGACCTTTTTTTCGGGTAAAAGCCCATGGAGCCATGACGGGGAGCGCTGAACTTCCGATGCGACTAATAGATATATGAATACTTTAAACCATGGACGATACTCCCCTTACAAAACAACAAATATTACAACAAATCAGACCGCCCTAGAATACTATCCACATAATTTATATTCGGAATTGTTCTAACTGTATAATTATCCAAATCATCATTTTACGGTGTCCAAAATATTTACTAAAATCAATGAGTCCGCAAAAATTAAAAAACTTTGAGATTCTGTTTTGAACAAACGTATAAGGATTAACGAGATAATTTTGGAATGTTAAATCGATCTACTCACCATTGCTCTGCGGAACAAAATGGAAGAATAACTCGACTGAATGTTAAAAGAAAACTATATTGCCGATAGGGGGAGCACTAATCCACTTCTGTCGCTAGTAGTGGCCAAATATATTAGGATAATTCGAACAGCGTTTAAACCGCGTAGTACTAATAAAAGTAAAACGAAATAATACATTCAAAGATAATTGTAATATAATTCAAAAAGTTAAAAATACTCCTCGAACTATAAGTTTAATGGCAGTATTGCCTTTTTACCAGAGGAAGCAAACTAAAAATATTTAACAAAATGACAAAACTGTTTCCCATAAAAGTTTAGATTATAATTACTTTCATTTGCTAAGACATGTATTCCCTTCCTTTGACAGCAACGGACGATTGTATATTGCAGAGTTGTCCCAAAGAAACAGATGAGCGATTTGTGTGACTAGCCTTACATTTTTTTTAATGGAAATGAATAAAATTAGAAATATTTGGTTTTACCGGAGCAGATACCATTTAAATAAATTTGTTCCAAGGTAATTGTGGAGTTTTTTTTACAGCATATAAGTTTAAACATTTATTACTAGATTGTCTAATCATTACGAATTTTCAACCAAGCAAGAAGTCAGTGACGATGTTCCCATCAAGTACACGGCAAGTCCGGCATTTAAACACCGCGCTATATTATCTAGAATGAATATCGCGACACGCTTGTGGTATGAACCCTATGTAGTATTGGCTAGTTTGGGTGCTTTTTTAATTTACTTCGGTATACTTCGAGAAGAGAATGATATCGACAAAGAATTAAGCAGAACCCTTTATGAACGAATAGATGGTTTAGAGGAACAGCAACTAAGATTATGTTTAGAATATAACAAAGAACACGGATTACCTTACTCACAAATTGCAACGCGTCTTTCACAATTAGAAAAGGCAAAACCAAACATATAATGTATAAATTTATGTCAATTTAGTAAACAATAAAATTTATGGCTCTCATGGTGTTTTGCATTACATTTTATTATTCAGCCTGCAGCCCAGAAGTACAGACCAGAGAAGTTAATATTCCATTCTAGCATTGATAGTACTTCGTGCAGTTTGTGTACCCCCATTAATACCTAACTGCCTAATTTAACTTCCTTGTTACAAAAGAAAGTATTTTTGAACTGTAGCAATTTTTGTTGTGCAACTTCAAAAATAAAACATTGTGTATAACATAGTTGGGTTGAAGATTTAACTATTATTTATTTTTCAAAAAGAATAACCAGGTTTTAATGTATTTGAGCAATAATGAAAAACTATATCCCAAAACCAAAACTAAAAAATATAACATGGATTTATTTGCCCACTAAGCAAACCCAAATTTTACTAGAAAATTTTGCACAGAATCAGTAAATATAACATATATCATAAATATAAAATATATACATATAAAGAAAGCAAACACATTTCTTAAATATTTTATTTCTTTTATGAATGTAATTGAAAATAGCTATCACGATACAATAGATTCCATTATGCCATATTAAAGGAGCCTAACCGTTTTATAATACAAAAACTTACACTAAAAAATACTATATACAATTTAACATTGTAAAATTAAAAGCTCGATGAGTAAGTAGTGTATTATGTTATATACAAATCAGAAATATTACAAAATATATATTAAAACTGTCTGAAATAATTTATATTTTATACAATGTAATAACATTTATTTAAACTTAAACTATTGATAAGCCTTTAACAAAAATCAAACAAAATACTGCAATATATAAATCAAAACAAATATAAGACAATGTTGACAATAGTTTTGCAAGTGAAACCACTGCGGAAAGTTAAACAAGCTCCAAAATGGATAAAATTTAATGTGTAATGAGGCAATAACAAAAATGCATCTTTGCAAATAATTCTTTACAAGAAATAAGTATATCTGACAGAAGACCCAACCAAAAATAAAATATTAATACATTTAATAATTTGAAAAAATCATTTAATACCATATTTATTAATTATGTTAGTTTTTTGGACAATAAAACATCTACTTTTTGTGTTTAATACAATAGACAGTAGTCACTAGGGAAGTTGAGACTTACTATTAACATAGAAAAAAAATGCCTGAAAGTGACCTTAAGTAAACAAATTATTTGAATTGAAGCCAACAGAATAATATCCTATAAACAAGTATAACGGATTTTTTTTTCAACCAAAAATTAATAAGTGTAAACAATCATCCAGAGGACAGTAAAATGAGCAATACATCCTTTTAAAAATTGCTAACATCTATAACAAGGCATAATTTATTTAAAATATAAGAATCTTGACGGACATCCAAAATGCAGAATTCTCTGTTTCATAATAAATATAAAAAATATATATGTATATACCAATGAAAAGTAAAAGGCTATATGGATCAACCTTGCACCATTTTTGCTTCCTAATCTAGTTAATAGTGTCCTGGTGAAATCATTCATGCACGTCATCTAAAACAATAAATCACCATTGAACTTTTAAAGCTGTAACTAAAGATTCCCGTAATGGCAGTTCAACTATCTTTACATACTCTGCAAGTCTCTTAATTAAATTAAACTCTATAAGTCACAAGAGTTACAATTTTAAATAGTGCTTTTTTTGATGTAAGAAAATTTTATGATGCATGTCCGAAATTTGAGATATGGCTTATCCGATATTTTACTAAATAAGAATTCTAATTTTTAAAAAAGCCTAAATCAAACATATGTGTGCCAAATTTTTAAATTCGAGTTTCATACGGACGTCATATTTCTCGACTTAACGATGAGCAAGATGGTGTAAGAAATACAAGCTTGGATCTAAATTAAGTTCGGCTCTTCATCTTTTTTATTGTATAAAATTTGTGAAGTTTCTATATTGAAAGAAAATCGTTTTTTTTTGTTTTGTTTTAAAGGACATCAAAACAATTTAAGAAATATTGATGTTTCATTTATATTTTTATAGTACCCTTCCTATAGAGACTGTATTAAATCCGGCGACATAGGTATCTATATCCAATCAATTTCACAACAACTATTCCAAAATTTTTCAAAAATGTGGAGCCGCGAAATATAAATATTGTACAAATAACAAATAAATAAAGTTTCAATAATTTAAACTCCTATCAAAAGCTTTTTACTAAATCAAAACATCTTTTTGTCTGTCCTATCCTATCAAGAAGTCGTTTTCAAAACCTTTTTAAACAAAGGTGAGAAAGAATGACTTATCTTTACAAACATAATTAAAAAACACTTTATAAACTTAAACTTGGCAAAACTGAAAGACAGACGAAGTGGGACACTAAAGAAGTTGCTAATTTGAACAAGCTTCAGTCAGTGGTGTCGGAATAAAGAAAAATCTCATTAGACCCGGCGTGCGCGTGGAAAGAATTCAAAAGATGTAAAGTTCATTAGATCACAACCTCGGGATGTATTTGCCATATTTTTAAAGAAAGGCTGGATGGTGTGCACAGCCAAAGTTCTTCGTATTCTGTAGTGAAAGAATGGGCAAAACGTTTTCGAATGGGGCAGGAGTCCCTGCAGGTAATAACGGAAGATATTGTTGCGATTGTAGAAGAGGTGGTCGACGTTTAAAGGTCAAGAAAATCTCAGAAATTACTAAGCTTCTCTGATACAAGTGTTCGTCGAATCCTGCATGATCATTTAGGTATGCATAAGGTTAGTGCAAGATGGGTTCCTAAAAACCTTTCGACTATTCAAAAACAAGGCCGTGTCGAGTGTGCGCGGTCTTTTTTGGAACTCTGTGGGTCGTAACCGAAGCCTGTGATAGAAACTATTGTGACGGGAGAGAAACTATGGTTCTCTATTATGACCCTCTATTGAAAAAAGAATCAATGGAGTGACGTCGTAAGGGTGAAGCACCTCCAAGGAAATTCCGAGTCTGCCAGTCAACAAAAAAGGTGCTGGCCACGATCTTTTGGGATTGTGAAGGAATTCTTTCGATAGATTTTAAAGAAACTAATACCACTGCCAATGGTAAATATTACGCAACAATATTACACAAATTGCGAGACTGCATACGCGTAAAACATAGAGGAAAACTGACCAAAGGCGTGCGTCTTTTACACGATAATGCATCTATCCATACTGCTATACTGCTGGTGTTGCACAAGCTGCCATTTTAGAGTGTGGGTTCCGACAGATAGATCATCCTCCCTATAATCCAGATATGGCCCCCAGCGACTATTATTTGTTTGGATATTTGAAAAAGGACTTACATGGACGGCGGTTTAACGACGAAGTTGAGTTAAAAGGGACTGTTTTAGCTCATTTTGCAGAAAAACCAAAAGAATATATTTTTAAAGGGATTGACTTGTTAATAAAGAGATGTAATAAGTGTATTGAAGTTAAAAGGGGGATTATATTGACAAATAATAAAAAATTGTTACTCTACTTTGTTTCTTTGATATTCAGGCCGGGAAACTTTGGCACTGCCCTCGTACTACTAATAAAATAAGATTATTTATTATGAAAAAAATTATACGTAAAAAAATGAAAGTATTATTTTTATTGAATGCCTCTTAATGTCAAAATCAATTAAAAAAAGCGTTATTCCTTGATTCAGTTTAAGCGGTATTAGTTAATAATAGTTCTAATTTTAAAATGTACAAGGAAATTCATTACATAGCCACATTTTCATAGCAATGGATAGTGATTCACTCAACATCATAAATAAATCAACAGGCTCACCAGCTTATCCATATTCTTTACCAAAAAAAGGAAATTTACTTCAAATATTTTAAATGATTTTTGGCAATGATCATTCTAGATGTGTTATAGAGGTTAGAGAAAAAACTTAGCGTCACAAAAGTATGAGACTTAACTTACTATTCAACATCATTATAGTGAGATGTTTCTTTCTTATAAAGCAGTGCGCTGTTATAATTCAATACCTCGGTATACCTTGCGTAGTGGGATTGAGCAGTAATTTTTTTTTGGGTCAATTGAACGAAATAATTTTAAAAATACAATGAAATGTGTATCTATTTATATTGTCGATTTTTTATTGGGATTCCCCGAATCGCTAAATACATATCGTATTCAGATATTCTTTGAAGAGTTATAGGTAAATTCAACATTACAAACGCATAATAATTTATTATAAAATACATATTATTATTAAATAATGATAGATAACACTCTATATTTGAAAGATGTTATTTAAAAAAAAAATAGAAATAGAAAAAAAAACTTTTTGGTCACTTTCTGGGGAAAACAAATAAAAGCTCAATTATAGATCCTAATCCCTTTTCGCCCACGAGCGACATTCAGGTACGCAACAGTAACGATTTGAACTTTAATCTCTGGATGTCATTATCAAAACAAAACCTCACATAAAAATATTCCGAATTGCTCGCCACCACGTATAAACAGCAAAAGCAAACCACTTTGCTCACAAAAGATGGAAGTCACCAAAATATCCACTACCATAATAATAAATCAATAACCTCAATGTACTACCGAACCACCACCTGGCGTATCACCTACCTTCAAAACCTCAATTGTCGGTAAAAAATCAATCAACTTCTTGGGGATCCCGCTTTATATGCCATTCGGTTTACTTAAATAAGACTTACGTACGTCGACGTTAGGACAGAAAAGGATTCGCCGCTGGTTCGTTGGTTTTCATCATCCAGGGGGCGTGGCCGTTAGCGTTTAAGTTCGTCGTAGATGTCGCAGGCACGGCCGGCACGGGCGTCCAAGGATCTTGCACCGTCTGGAGGGGGGTCGCTTCCAAAGGCATGGCGCCGCCTCCGCCGCCACTGAACGGCGGGAACTGAGTGGCTCCGACGTCGTACACAGCGTATAGAGGTGCCACGCCTTCAGGCGCGGGCGGCTGTTGATGCGGCGCGCTCGTCGCGGCAAATTGGGCGAACGATTGCTGCTTGATTTCGTTGATCGAAGGCTTCGGCGGTTGCGCGTTGAACACCGGTCGCCATTGGGGCGCGGCCGTCGGATCCGAGAACGGATTCGCCGTCGATGTCGGGTTACTCGGTTTGCCTAAACAATCGAGCACATTAGACTGGCCCAAAACAATCGACTGATGAGAAACATAGATAAAATCAGTCAGAATACCATATTTTGTATTTGTATTTCCGATTTTTTAGTCCTTATTTTAAACTACATATACGTTTGTTTGGTTTTATTTTTAATCAATAACATAATTGCCATCATTGTCAATGACATTTTGCCACCTCCTTAATTAATTTTCAATGCCCGATTGAAAAAAAAATTGGTTGATTGATAAAGTAAATGGGGAGGTGCCTTTTTGATATCATCCACGTTGTTAAATTTCTTCCCAGCTAGGACTCTTTGCAGTGATCTAAACAGGTGAGTATGGTGGATGAGGTAGTAGCTCCCAACCCAGATTGTTACATTTTTTAACTGTCTTCTTTGCGCTATGTGATCTGGCATTGTCATGGTGCAGAATAACGCCTTTTCTGTTTATCAAAACTGGACATTGTTTGGTTGACACTATCCAACTGTTGACAATAAAGGTTTATCCAGGTTCCAGAACTTCAAAGTGTACAATACTCCACCAAACACACAAGAACGCCTTCTTTGGGTACAGTCCCAGTTTCCCAGTCGGTTTTGGTGTTTCATTGAGGGACAGCCACTACCTTTTGCGATCCGAAAACCCTTCCTTTTTGTGCCTTTCTAGCAATAAGCTGCACCTGGTAGTCCGATTAGCTTTGTTTACCTCGGATAAGTTATGCGGAACCCAAACAATCGCTCTGCTTCGCTTACCTATCTGTACCAAATACTCTTGAATGGTCAACCGCGGTTGTTTAAGTGCTTGGCAGCTCTTCAATTGTTAAGGATCGGCTTCCACTTGCGCCTTTAATACGTCACTATGAAAAACGACATTACTTTCAGATCCCCCCCCCATTATTTTTAAAGGAAATTGCAGTGCAGTTCCGCGACGTTTTCACCAATCGATTACCTACGTTAAAAACAAAGCCCTCATGTTTATCCCCCCTCTAATTATTTTTTTATTTCTTATGAAATGCGAGTTTTAAAAATACTTACTTTTTTTTATTGAGCTTCATTAATAATATTATTTCATAAGTCATTACCTGTTTTCTTTTTTATAGGTATAACAAATATTGTAAATAGATCATTTTTAATAGAAAAACAATATTAATCCTATTCTCGAAATTACTATTAGTGATTGCATTGACGACGTAATAATTATGGATAATCTAGAATAGGAATTTGACCCATTGAGTGGAACAATGACTTTATTATTGAACCTCATTTATACTACTATTTTATTTTATATATGTCATATTCTGATTTTTCTTTTTTACAATTGTTTAAAATATCGCAAAATGTTGTGCAAAATATTGTAAATAACACATTTACAATAGTAAAACAATGTAATTCTTGTTTTATAAAAAATATTAAGAGGCCTTTGTTGTAGAGCAAAATACCCTTTAAAAGCCAGTATTGTTCTTTTTTCTATATTGATTTGTTAGTTCCAAAATTACTAAACCAAAAAGTTAAATCAAAAAAACTTGATTTCTTGGAAAAGGGTCTCATGAAAATTTTCAATCAGAGTTTTTTTTAAACATACGCAGATAAATATTTTTAATAATAATGAGAACAGGACAAAAAATAGAAATAAATAATAGATAACCTAAGGGCTCACCTTTTAACGATATATTTTTTAAATTCTGAATGATTTTATCGAATATTTTTCATAAAAAAATACTCCATTTTTTTGGTTAGTCTAAAGTACATTTTATTTGTTAAAAAAAGAAACAATATCCCCTAGCCCGCGCAAACCATGAGATAGGTAATCCGACCCGAAAATGTACCTTCCCGTTTCTTAATTAACTGATAAAAATTTATAGGAAACATAAATAAATTCTAAAAAACTAATAATTATTATTATCATCCTCCAATAATATATTTGATTCTAAATAAGTTGAACATAATATTAAGGCAACAGCCACAACTAACCAAAATTCTTTAATACAAACAAATACATATAATTTTTTTGCAAAGTTAATAAACAGCAATTAATTATCAAGAGGGACAGACACCAACATATTTTGTAATATTTAAGGTAAGCACAGTAAAATTTGTGTCAATCCATTTATTAATTTTATTTTTGATAATGTTATTTTTGATAAAGTTGTAAGGCTTTAAAATACCTTTGGGCGACACAATAGATCTGATTTTTGCATGCAGTATGACTAGGATTCTCTAACAGGACTTGAGCTGCAAGCGTGCTGTTAATGTTGTGAGATAGTTCTTTATTATAATATCTGGTTTTCAACATGTATTTAATGATTTTTTTAGCCAGGTTGTAAACTGTGCTATAAATATTAATTTGGAACCAATATATTTGTTTATCGCCCGACCTAACTTCTCAACAATTTTTTCGTGTTGGTTTCAAAAGTTTCAAAACTTTCGTTGGATTACTGAAGTTTTGATCATTGGTGAATTAGAAGACGATTTAACACAAAACTACTGCACTGGTGTAATCAACTAAAACCTACACTTTATAGTTAACCGGTTAACTCAATACGTCGTCAATTGACATCAATGAACGTACGCCATATTCTATACGTACGTACGTATTCTTTATTAGTTATTAGTTATTAGACAATATATTTGATTTCATGAATACTATTGTAATGTGCATGAAAAAATAATTCGATTTAAGTATAAGAGCTTAAAATTTCAACTGATGGGACAGGTTGACGAACTCGAAATACAAATAAATACGTCCAATGAACTGATTCTGCAGACTTCACACATTTCAAATTCGCGAGTAAATGTCTACAGCGCCATCTAGTCACATTCGATGATGTTAGACAACGATAAATATATGGATAATTATTTTAGAATCAGTTCCAGACCTCAAAGTTGTCTCTGACGCAGGCACAGAATAACGGAAGTTACGCAAAGTAATTGTGACACTGAAGCTTCGTGCAAGCATAGTTTGGGTGTTTATTGTTGAAATTTAACCCTTTAGCCTAGACTATAATATGCAGAATCCTTATATTGTTATTAGATAAATCTAAAAATTACAAAAAAAAGGATATAATTTTTTGTAACAAATTAACAAAAAATTATAATTTGAAGTTGCCAACATAAATTGTCACGTGATCCAACCCCATTAGGCAGTAATTTTTTTGATTGAAATTCTATATCATTGTTAGTACATTTGCTAATGGCAAAATCTATTGTTTTAAATTTATGTATTTGACTCACTTGTGGTAACTAAATTATCTAAATTGACTAGTGCCGAATTCTCCCCTAGGAAACTTTGCGGCGTCTTTTTCTGGGCTCCCGAGGACGGACTTGGACCGGCTGATGGCAAAGATTCACCAAGCAAGTTCAATTCAAACGGATCGGATGTTGATTCTCCGTTAGTTTTCGGCGATGTCGGCCTATTCCTTAAACACATAGCATCAGTGCAAATTGGTTATAATTAGATCGAATGTATACCTAAAACAGAACCGAAAAGCCGTTAATATTCACGGAGTCATTTCAAATGCACCAAAATATCGTTAGTAAATTTTTTGGTTGATCAAACTTTTGAACTATCTTAAACTAGTAGTCTACACTTATTTGTTGATAGGTAATTGAATCTTTTATTCAAGCTAGTTGAAATGTAGGTAGAAATGTAAATCCAGATTTGAGACTTTAATCACCTGTTAACTTGTTACCAGGCTACAAAATTTCTAATTATATATCTTAGGCACACATAGCAACCCAGAATTAATCTTATTACCATAAAATTATTTTTAAGCAAGGACAAAAAATTAAAATTTGGTTTTACAATTATGAAGTTATAATTTGAAATAAAAAAAAGTATTTAGTTAATCACAACTTCCACATTTAATTAATTAATTCATTGGAAACTAGAAAATGGTGTCTTGTTTAGACAAGACTATAAGATAATTGCTCCAATTGGTTTTATTATGGAGAAATTATTTGTGTGCAAAACAATAAAAAGTGGAGTTAAAATATTTATAATATATGTGAAATGTGAAATATTACACAATAATTATTCACTTGATGTGTAATAAGTTTAATTCTATTTCACATATCAACTACCTAAATTCCAATTTGATCGGTCAAATAACAATACCCATATTCTCTCTCAAGAAAAAAATCATTAAGGGGTCCATTGTAAGTGGATGTTGAAAATGAAAGCTTATATTATAAAATAACATATTGTGATGACTGATATTTTTTCATTTAACTTACCTATGTGATATGATATCAAATTCATCCAGATCAGAAGAACTATGACTAACTGGCGACCATGGATCGTGGTTAGGACGTGGGGCATTAACGGGCGAAGTAACTGTGGCAGCAACCACACCCGATGAGGGCTCCCAAGGATCGACTTTCGTGCTCGCACTTGACAACGCCGCCGTGGCGGGTTTCCAAGGGTCGAGTGCCTTTGGTGGGGAGGAAAGAGAAGTAGATTGTTGCCATTGCGATGGCTGCAATAAAACACGGAATGCGATTTGCGAAATGATAAATCATTATTCAGCATTTTGTTTATTCTCTTTATCAAGTGCCTAGGATCAAACAGAGATTAACAACCTTTAGAGTGCCATAAACAAAAAAACATCATTTAATACTGTGAATTGGTGTTTAACTTTAAGAGACTTTTCCGAGGATGAACTTCTACAGAACTTGTACAATTAAATTACATAATTAAGTGAAAAGCAGTAAAAGTTTTTAAAATGCTCAATTAACATAAAAAATTAATTGAAAATAAAACAAGAGTAATTATTTGTTAAAGAATAGCATATTGCCAATTAGTGCTTAAATACAAGTATAGTTAAAGCAAGTTAAAAGCAATTTATTAACATTTCGGTTTAAAAAAAATGTATAGTAAAAAAAAGGTTTACTTTAATCTTAGTTGTGTAGTTGTGATAAGAAGTGTCTTGAAAACGCTACTGTCCCACTGGCACTACCTTAATTTATATAATAATAAGTTGCTGATGTGGTATTAAGCAAGAAACTAGCAAAATAACTCTGTTATTCAAACCACTTTTTTCAAGCAGTACATACCATGTTACCAAATCCAAACAGATTTAAATCCAGAGACTGAAGTGAATATAAAAACAATACCATCAAATTTGGTAAATATTTACTCTTTGAATTTCCATATACAAAAGACAAATTACTTACTTGAGGCCTAGCAGTCTGTGGCATTCCCCAAGGGTCAACTGGAGCCGCACCGTCACCTAAATTGACATCAAGCAAGTCCACCATGTGACTCTGTATTTTTTCCTGACTTTTTCTAAAAAAAAATTAAATTCAGGAAAATTCAGCATGATACTAAGAGCTTACTTAAAATCTTGTTGGCTCTGGCTTAAGGCCAACTGTAAGCGCACATCATCTGATTTTCTTTTTTGTTCTTCCTGTTCAGCTTCCTCCCTTGACATTGCCAATGCCAGCTGAAGCTGCAGTTCCTCTTCACCGGCTGTCTGAGGTCTGGCAATTTCAATATCTCTGGGTATTTCAGCTGCTGAAGAATCTAGAAAATTATTTCATTCAAATATTGCTTGGAATTTCTGACCAAGTTACCAGAATCCCGACTATTCCACTCCCCTCTAAAGGCAGGATACCTCGGACTTGTAGGAGTGTCAAGTCCTCCATCACTACCAAATCCACTAGCACTTTGAGCAAATCGTTCTCTTGCCTTTAAGGCCCTTGCCCTTTCATTTTTCAGTTTTTCTTCATCCCTCAATAAGTTATCAAGTTGCTTAGCTTTCTCTCTAACATTTTGACCCTGATCCTTTCCTGAAAGCTAACTATTTAAATCTCCTGAAACAAAAAAGGTATGGTATTCTCAGTTATACCATCCTCCATGTATTCGAAATCTTTTAACGTTTGAATAGCAAAAATGTTCTCTTTGCATTGTTGCCCCACTTTCTCTGATCCAGTTTTGATTAAATAGTCTAGTAAAACTAATGCCTTGTATACATGTCTCCAATTTTTGCCATCATCATTGAGTCGTTTCCACACCATTTGCATAATTTCACTAAAGGCTACCACATTGTATGTAAGATCTGCTATTTCTGCCATTAGAGTGCTGTTAGGTCCCCATGGATCATTAGAAGTGACTTCTCTGACTTTTTTCTGGGCATCAGAGTAATTGTGTGCAAAGTTTTTAATATTTCTTCGAATCCCAGCAACATTAACTTGCATGTCACGTGAATTTCGACGCATCTATCAACATAATTTTATTTTCCTACATAGGCACAGAAAAGTGTCATAAACTTACTATGAAATTGATACAAAATGCAATCTGTTATAAATCCAAAGCTGTAATTCCAATATGGTTAGACATAAAAATCACTTCATACTGAAATATAAAAGCTAGTTATAATATGCTTTTAAAAATAGCGGCAGCCACAGTAAGGTTTCTCGGATACTTTACGTAGTTTCTAAATCATAAATCAATAATGAACAATGAAATTTGCGGTTGATATCAGTTTATCTTGATGTCTGACAAAATTGATAAAATTAAAAACATGTAGGTTATTAAAAAATAAGATTGATCATACAAAATATACAAAAACAGGAACAGGAATAGAAACAAAACACACCTAAGCTAGTATTTTACAGCGTAGAGAACGGTGTAGGCTAGTTACTATTTGAATTAAATTAGGAATGAATCAATTTGAAGGCAAAACTAGCAATTATTAATTTAAATTACAACACATGCAGTATATCTATTTTATGTACCCAAAACTCAATAAAGAACATCGCGAGCATATTAAATTAGAATACGGCCTTCTACAAATGTTGAAACACCCTAATGACTTAAATAAATTTTTACAAATTCTATACATACCAACAAAGAGTGATAAGAAATGTCAGAACTTCCTTAAGCAGTTACAATAACGCAGCCAATTATATTTCCCAACTAAAATCAATTTAAAAAAAAATTAACTTATTTTTCTATTCACTGATGACACCACACTTTTGTTTTCAGGCATACAGTTTGCATACTCAACATGGCGCCGTTATTTACGATATTTTAAGTGACGTCCGCTTAATAGATTTACAGACAAAATAAAAGTGTTTAATTTTGAAATATGCAATTAAAGGGATGAAATTAGTGATGCGATTTTTTTTTAAGTAACGTAATAAAATGTGAGATTTTGATTCAATATTTATAATTTGACATTTGTCTAAATTCCCAGGATTGCCAACACAACGAAAAGTGTGTAAACAAAATCGTCGGTAGTTCAAATTAACTGAGGGCAGAAATAAAATTATACAAAGTGGAATTATTCGCTTTATTTTGTTGTTGGTACAGAAGTTAAAAATAATTTTAAGACAATTGTGCTTCATGTACCAAAGTTCTTGAAAGATTCCTTGCCGCAGCTAATCTTAAGATATCAATTTTGTCGCTTAATTCCTTCAAGTCTTCCTTTTCTTCCAAGCAGTGCAAAATAGTGTAAGTGTCGTTGGAAGAAAGAACTATCGTTTCACATTCCAACAATGGTATTACTTCAGTCAGTAAGACACTCCAGAAGCTGGAAAAAGCCTACTTTGTAGTACATAAGGTAACAATTAAACTCCAACTCACTATTTAGGAACAATTTTGGAAGCTAAGAGAGATACAAGTAAATTTCCGCATTCTTTGATTTCTCCCAATTCAAACAATTTGTGGAATTCATAATATTTTGCTACAAAAAAGAATTAAAAATTATCAAAAATTGTATTTAAAAAATATATTCACCTAAAAATATTAATCTATCACTTGCTAGCATACATGATCCTAAATTATCTAAAAGATCGGTGCTATTGAGCACGCCTGTTTTGATATACTCATGAAGAAATTTGTCCGCCAAGTATGATGTAAATGGTCCATCTTGGGATTTTAGAGACCACGTTAGAGCAGTACCTAAACGATTTCGTTTAACAGACCTCATTCCTTGTACTCTGCAAATTGTTTGTGCTATTGAAAAATGTAAATTTTAGTTGGTTAAGAGAAATATAGTTTGAAGCAAAAACAGACCAACTTGATTTAAATCTCTGGCTTTTGCTTCTCTAATGAGCTTGACTGCCTTAGCCTCCGTATCAAATCTAACCCTTGGTAGTAATAATTCGATAGTCTGCAGACCATCATTTGGACAATGATCTAAATAATTTAATCCAACCTGCCACAAACTACTGTGACCCATTAACATAATACCATACTCCAAAAGGAATGATTCCCTTAATTTTTCTGCCGAACTAAAAAACGATTACCTAGAATTTGAACAGAATCTATCAATGTTACTTACAAGCTCTCCACTTCCTTTCCTAATGCTGTTAATTTGCCAGAATGATACAATATATCTGTTAAATGACTGACGAACCATCCATTTTCTGTCATATATTGAATTTCTTTTATTACCTGAATTAAAGAACCTAAATGATACCTATTTTGTTTTAACTTCATATACAGAGTGTTTCAAAACAACTGGGAAAAACTTATGAGGGTCATTTCTTCTTTAAATTAAAGGGTAGTTTGCTATATATAAACATTGGATCCAAAAGCCAACCAAAAGAAAATGTTTTTATTTTTTATCTTAAAAACGAAAATAGAACAGCAAAATGTTGCGGAAGTATTATTAAGTATTGTAAAGACACTCTTTTTGAACATTTTTTAAAAATAAGTGGAGGGGATTGAATTAGACTCCTCCTGTCTTCATTCGTCATTCTTGTTTACTAAATTTAAAGAAAAGCTAATCAATGACATGGGAAAAAATATCGATGGACGGGTTTATTAGAAATTTTTTGCCTCCCACAATTTCAAATAAAAAAATAATAAGAAACGCCTTAATTAGTGATAGCAGCAGCCCACTAAATTCTTTTTATCTTGTAATTTTTATTTTGTTATGAGTTTTATGAAAAAATTGTAGACAAAAAAGCCTATCAAAAATTTTGTTTTCCCATGTAATTGAATAAGTTTCTCGTTAAATTTAGTTAAGAAAGAATGATAGGGGTAGTCTAATTCAATCCTCTCCACTCACATACAAAAATTAAAAAATATGCAGGTGTTTTTTTATAATAGTAATACTCCCATAATATTTTATTGTACTATTTTTTTATAAGATAAAAAAAACAATATTTTTCCACCATATTTTATATATCTACCATTTATCTTAAACAAGTAAACACCTTGTCTATATACCTCAAATATATCAAACTCCATAGCCGCAAGTAAAACTCGATCAAGATGTTTCATATTGTTTTTCATCCTCATTTTCGTTATACTGTGTTTTGCAAATTGACCAAGTTCAAATGTTTTCACTGTGGGTTCAGTATAAAAGAGCCAACCAGCCAAAAATTCATACCAAGCCTCACAATTTGATTGTATTTTAGTCCAGGCTTCTTCTTCCCCAACAATTAACTACAATAAAAACCTATTTAAAAATATCCTGAGATAATCAATTTTAATATAAAATTTGGAAATGTTTAAACTAGCTTACCCTTGTTATTAAATCAAGTTTGGCATTGGTAGCAAACTGCTTTGCATCAATTTTTGACTGAACATCCATTGTCCAATGGCGCCATTGCAAATTAAAGTTGTTAGTGGATACACCATTAGTCATCTAGAATATCACAATAAAATAAACCCAAAAGTAATCAAAGCAGCGATATCAAAAAAGTTAGAAAATATTGCAGAAATATTTATATCCTGTAAATATTTTTGAATACATGAATATTCTTACATTGTAAATAGGCATAGATTTTAATATTTGGTCCACCAACTGAAACATACTGGTATTGGCTGCCGAATGTAATTTCAAAAGAGCTCGGACCACTTCAATTCGGCCTTGAAGGAGATTACCAAAAACAGTATCCCAGTAGTTCTCTTGCAACTCCATACTGTCTACTCCACTCCCAATAAGATTTGCAGCATTCCTTTCATGCCTAGGAAAATGAAACCTTATCCATTCCAACACAAAGGGTAACACAATATCTCTAGGTATTACTTCCATAAAAAGAATTTCGCATAAATGCCAAATACACTCCACTGAATAAAATATTGTGATATAGTTTTGAAGTTCTTCTTTTTCCACACCCTTACTTTTGCCTATTTCATCTTGTAAATTTTCCAGACAAGCTCTGATTATTGAACGGTACTGTCTGCTCATCCTTAGTATATCAGATTCATATTGAGAAGATCTATTGAACATGGACCCTTGTAAATTCAAAAAGGTCCCATTAGATTCATTTACCAATTTTCGAAGTATGGGATGGTTCAATATAATATTTTGTCGTAGTTGGAACACGGACGGTGATATATTAGCGGCGAAATGACTGGGGGCGTCCTGTTGTTTAAAACTCTTTTTTTCGAAAGCAAATATGGACAACTCATTAATAGGCAGCCAGGAAGCAGCTATACCTGCTCTTCGACACAGTTCATTCGGAATAACCTAAAACAACGGAACTGCAAAAAACTGGTAACTCAACTTCTTAAGGAATCATACAAAAGTTTCTGTTCTGCTACCCATTTTAAAATTATAAATGCTAACCTAACAAGAAATAACAGCAAACCGCCTATCTTCCTTTTTTTGCTTCTCAAAATCATAAGAACTGTGGTCAATTGGACAAGATTTTTTTTTCTATGCTAAAAATCAGGCTAACGCATCTTTGATTTTTAGCATGTTTATGAAAATAAATTTCATCGTTCTATGATTAGGATTTTTCAGAAGAACTATGGTCATTATATTTCCCAAATTGAAATTGTACCAAGTTTGCGAGAAGTGTATGAATAATGAGTTAATAAGTAAATGTTTGTGAAACTAAAGGCACAACAAATTTTTGTATTTTCGACAAGGTGAGCACATGGTTTTTGCAACACAATGTCGAAAGCAGATTTTTCTCCCACGATAACTGCCCATTTGGCAGCGGAAATACTAAACAAAACTTTGGCCAATATTCAGCTTCCTGAAAATGCCCGAAAAATCGAAGAGGCCAGAGAGAATGTGGGCAATGAAATGTTGAAAATGATGCAGTTTGTGTTTCCAGTAATAATGCAACTGCAACTTGATGTTGTCAAAGAATATGGTTTTTCAGACACAAGAGAAGGTATAATTAAATTCTCCCAAATATTGCGTAACCTAGAAAGAGAAGATTCAGAAGTCGCTCGATTGCATGGTTTAATTAAAGCCTATTACTTACCCCCCATATCATTACACACAGGCACTGATGTTATGGAAGAGAAAAATAGTGGCAGCTAACATATTTAAATTGGTTTATATAATTTATAGATTTATAATCGTCTAAATATGTAAAGTTTAGAATTAAATTAACTATGTACAATTTTCAGTAAATTATTTTAGAAATTGAAATTAAAAACTCGGGCTACATCATATATGTATGTTAAGTGAGAATAACAACAAATAAAATTCTAATATTAAAAATCCCTTTATTCTATAAATATCATTGTAAACACTTTTGCAGCTTTATAATCACATTTTATAAATAACATTTCTTTACTATAAAAAGAACTATACAAAAATATGGACCTGAGCTGCTTTTTGGCAGAAAATTTAATAACTGAAAAGACTATTGGGAAAATGATATAATTCTTAATAATATAATACAGGTACAATTGTAAATCAGCTTTCTAATTTATTTTTTTTAATTCATGTTATAATTGTAGTTTTTTTTTGTTTGCTTCCAAGCACGAAAGTAAATAGAGGAACAGGATCATTAAGTGTAAATTTTAAAAAAAGAGAGTTCATACAATAACCCTATAATGTATTTACTACTGAACCAATGATTCACATTTCTTAAAAATATATAAACTTCTTATTAAATTCATCAACATTAAGACACTAATTGTTACCAGAGGTAGTAGGTATAAACTTTGTTTTACAATCCCATATTGAAATGGAGAGTGTTCCTTTGGAGTTTAAATTATTGCCGGGCGCTTCGTTCAGTTTCTATTAAGCACTCACGCACTAATATTCTAGCAGAGACAATATTCCTTTTTAATCTTTCTGCAGAACTTCTACTTCCTGCATATGTAGGACGCACTTCCCTGCCCATTTCCTCAATGACATTTAATAGTTGAACATATTTCGAAAGACTCGACGACGGACTGTTTAAATTGGTTCCGGAATTATTGTTTAAAGATGATGGGCTTTGCGAAGGTTTGTTAGAATGCATCGGAATAGCAGTAACGGTAACATCGCTAAGTTTAGATTCCACTGCTTGTATATCGACTGTTTCCATAGCGCCGCGACTTAAAATATGTCGATAATCACTCAAGCTTTTTGTTTACTTTTAAGAAAATAATTTCTGCCAAGATCTTTTTTCTACATTTACCAACTAGGTTATGTGCGCAGAACCGAAATGGTTAGTTTCGTTATTCATGTAACATACATTTTTAGAGTCTAGATATTAAGAATTGGAACCGAGGATGCCTCGGTTGGTAAGGCGTTGGACCTGCCAATTCGACTTGCCGTAGGTTGTCAGGGTTCGATTTTAACGAAAATACGAACGTGCTTCGGCGACCGTCTAAAAAAACAGACACGAACTCATAATAAAGGAAAACAAAAATTAAGAATTCACCCATTTTATGCATTTTCCGTATCACAACACCATTCACACCAAAGCAAATGGTTGATACCATTCCACCCGTCCCCGTATTCACTTTTCCAGGGAATCCGTTTTGTCACAATATTCGAAAATTTCGACTTTATTTAGTAAACATAGAAGAACCATTATTTAACCAAAAATGAGGAATTATTTAAAAACAATCGACAATCGGTTACTTATTTATTTCAGGGATATAGGATACATCAATAATTAAAAAAAACATCTAATCCTAACACTTACATTCCAAAGAAATGAATCAAATATTACTACTACGACCACTTTGCTAAATATTCACATTTTTAAGAGAAATATTGAAGGTCAAAGATTTGAACACATTTTTTTTGTCGAATGGTGAATCACATATGTCTTACCAGTGAAAGTTCGAACATAAATTTAGCTATGTTAAATGCAGTTATTCTCAAAATAAGAAAAAATATATAAAGAAAACTACATGCTACAGAAATTCTCAAACACTGAGGCTTATGTGAGATTTATGCTCGTTCACCACGGATTCGGCGTGCCAACTGGATATCTTTAGGCATAATGGTGACACGTTTAGCGTGGATAGCGCATAAATTGGTATCTTCAAAAAGGCCTACTAAATAAGCCTCGCTTGCTTCCTATAAAAAAAATTAATTAGAAGTATCCTTCATTATAACAATAAGCCCGTACTAACCTGAAGTGCTCCAATGGCAGCCGACTGGAAACGAAGATCAGTTTTGAAATCTTGTGCAATTTCTCTGACCAGACGTTGGAATGGTAGTTTTCTTATCAGCAATTCAGTAGATTTCTGGTATCTTCTGATTTCTCTCAGCGCTACTGTACCTGGACGATAACGATGTGGTTTCTTGACACCACCAGTGGAAGGCGCAGATTTTCTAGCGGCTTTAGTAGCCAACTGCTTACGAGGAGCTTTTCCTCCCGTTGATTTACGTGCGGTTTGCTTTGTACGCGCCATGACGATTTAATCCTTCTAGTCAAAGGAAATCTGAGTACTCCCGCCAAACCAATAACAATATATATTTTTAACTAATATCGTTGATCAATAAACTTCGAAATTCCGAAAAACCGACACTCCTTGAAAATGGATGAAATGAAAATAAACGAAACGGTAAAACAAGATGGCGCAACCAAACAAATGAGGTTGTTAATAAAATCATCCCAATAAAAGCAGTGAAGATCTACATTTTTAAGAACAACTTTCATGCCGTTTTTAAAATTGAAAATACGAAAACAAAAAACAGCAATATTAGGTGAAATGTACTTACCCTTTTTCAATTAAAAATTTAATCACAAACTTCTCAGCTCCTCAAATTATCACGGGGAAAGGTAAAGTGACAAAACACAAAAGTGACGCTCTCAAACCATTTACCATTCGTCGAGAAGCATCTAGAACGCCATTGGTTGAAAAATTAACGAATTGGCAGCAATTCATGACATCTGTGGACGTACTTATTAACTAGCCCAAAGTATGCGACTGGGACCAACACAGAGGGCGACTGAGCTAGAGAGAGCGAAAGCGGGAAATTGCGGATTAGAATCCAAGTGAATCCCGCTGAGTCAGACTTTGTTCGTGTGAATTTGTCTATTATTGTTGGAATATATAAATATCGTGGTGGGAAATTGAAATATGATTACATATTACTGTGTCTAAATTGGATAATTGGTAACCAAGTGAAACTGCGTAGAATAATGATTTATTGATTACTACTCTTGAAATAACGTTAACGTTGTAAGTAAATAAATAGATAAATATATAAATAAAAACGCCTTTATTTTTCACTCGCTGTTGATTTAACGCAACATGTAAAAAAAATCATAAATCAACTTACAGTAAGGCAAATTTTACAACAAATATAAATAAATAAGTAAATGAGCTAATAATAACAATCGGTTAACAGTAATAATAAACTTGAGAAAAAGGTAATCCTGTTGAAATTGGCAAAAATAAACATTAAAGTAATAAAAAAAAAATTAAAGCAATTAAATTGACAAGGCTAATCTACATTTAACAAAATGATGCAAATATAACATTAATTTCCATTAACAGTTTCTTTTTAAAAATGAACAGTACTAAGCGTCGTCATTTTTTCCAACAAATATTCCGGGTATCCAGTTTTGGAGGAGGCTAGGCGAAGTTTTTGTCTATCGGCGATGTTAAGTCGGCGTAATTCTTTCAGTTTTTCACTAACATGGTCTTTGAGTTTTAAATTGAATATGAAACGAATACATGAGTTTTGCACTTTTTGTAGTTTGGCTTTAGTGGCCAAATCCAAACAGGGACCAAATACAAAATTGCAATAGTTTGTGAGACACAAGACCGACGTTTCAGACAATGATTTTTTTAACTTTCTGTTAAGAATATGTTTGTTTTTGTATGAATTCCTTATATTGCAATATCCTTTTTGTATAAATTTAGAAACATGGGTCTTGAACTTTAATTAATTATCACAAATTGCGTATTCGTATTGTATATCCGGTATTTTAACATTGTTGATTGAAATGTCAAGCAGTTTACTAGCCCAATCTTTAAAAGGTCTGCAGTAAATAGTGGCCGACTTATTTGGATTTAATAATAGCCCGTTATAGTTAGTATATTGCAATTTTATCTAAACGTCCATTTAACTTCTTTAAAACTTCAGCAGCCTCAGATTTTGGAAAACCATCATATAATTGGATGTCATCAGTGTACTGATGTATGTTACACTGCTCAATAATATTAATAATAATAATAACAATAATAATTAGAATAATAATAATAATGATAACAATAATAATAATAAATAATAAATTGTTTATTGCCCATAAGATACAAGCTTTTACCTCAACATGACGCTATAGTTTCTACTGAGTACAGGACGCTTTAGTTTAATAGCATATTACATTTAAATTTGAATTTAGGATAAACAAGAAAATAAGACATTATAATAACATTTGTGATAGAATTTGTACTGTTAGACATGACGACGTAGCATGTTAACGTTCCTGCCGTAGAAACTTCTAGGATTTGGTTTATCCTTAGCAGTCAGCATGTGTCCATGCACGAACGCCGTCCTCAGGCAACGTACGGTAACCAGCATTGTAATTATTCGAAGTTGTTACGAAATAAATCTTTAGTTTCTGAAATATCGTAATTAATTAACTGTCGCCCGAACCCCCGACAGAACAGAATTCATAACACTTAATTAAGCTTGAGTTACGGAACTCGTCTGGTACCTTAAGTGTTATTTATTTTACAAATAACCCAGACAAATTAAAATATATAATCTTAGAATACTGAAATAAACTGACCAAAAGAAGGGAAAAGGGACTAAACTGAGGCATTGCATTAATTGAAGTTGCTTTTAGCCATAGCTTTAAACTTAGTGAATGACTGTGGGACAATTTTCCACTAACCAATTAGACAATTTATAGCCGAACCCTTTAGATATTTTTCATTTCAGCAGGCATTATGTTAAATTTCTAACATATAGAAATGTTCGCTGTCCTATACTTTTCTTTGCAAATGGATGTGTTAAGTTTTCTTTCGTTTTTTCTCTAATAAAGTGATCATGAGGTTTGTGGTTGTTGAATAATGAGTTTTTCCGCATATGCTTTATAGTTTGGTTGTCGAATAGTTAATACCCTGCAATACCTAAATCTGAGGGATACTGTCGGACAAGTTGAAACATAACTTTCAGGACTCTTTTCTGAATAACCTGTAAACGTTTTAGATTACTTTTATATGCACCGCCCCAGCCGATAATGCCGTATAGTAAACGTGACTGGACCACCGCAAAGTATATAAGGAATATTGTTACTTTGTAATGTTAAGGTGTTATTAAAAAAGGGTATATAGACACAGTGTTTTGCAAATTTACGGTAAGTGTTCGTCAAACCAGTTGGTTATTGCGCAAAGATCTGCTTTAATTTGCAATTCAACATTATTGCAAGTGTCGGCTTTCATCATTAGGACTGTATCACCCGCAAATGATATGTGTTCCATTAATATTTATCGAAAGTAAATAATTGAGGTAGATCTTGAATAAAATGGGACCTAAGAGTGTTCCCTGTGGTATACCACAGTTAACTGTTTGTTTGCTACTAATAATGTTATTTCTAACTGATTTTTTTCTGGAGGTAGCTCTTGAATAGATCCAGCGGAAAACCCCCGACACCAATTGATTCCAATTTGTTTATTAATAACCTATGACTTACGGTATCAAAGGCCATATCCGAAGTGAAGATAACAAAGGTCCTAGAAGAGAACTTTGAAGTACACCTCTGCCCAACACTAATGCCCCATAATGAAAGAGTTTTGCACAGAAAAGTGACTAAGGGTGTCAAAGCCTTATTACAGTTCAGTAATACTAAAGCTACTTTACTAATAGTAAAACTAAAAGCGATTCTCCCTTATCTATGAGAACTTTTAACAGAGCTGTCGAGGTGTTCAACAATTTGCGAAAACTGACATTTTGGCAAAAGTGTATTTCTATCAAAATAATTAATTACTTGTCGAAAAATTAACTTTTCAAACACTTTTTAAACCGTTGACAATAAGGTAATTTTGTAATTTTTTTTTCAAAACTAAACTTGTCATGACATGAAGGGTGCATGCATAGAACTGATAAATAAATGAATCAGCGAGGTACGTTTAAATTTAGACCCAAGTGCACGGTGACGTCTGTAATTCAGGACTGCTCTTCTGAATGTACGCAACATACCAGTAACACACGTAGTAAATCCTTTAGTGTATTTATGATTGTGACTACGTATACGCAGTAGACGGACCCGAGCACCTAAGGGGCTCAATGAGAAGTCGCTAACCCAGATAAAAAAAAAAACAGCTCGGCAGCCCAAAGATTATCTTGCTTCGCTACTAGGTCATCGTCGAAAATTCACTGTTGTCAAAACTTGGGAAAAGGGAAATTATGTGCGTCAAATGAAAATCATTAAATTTAAAACAATTTATTTCAATGTTTTAAATTTTATTGTGAAATAATAAAAATAAAATAAGCCAATAAGGTACACAATTTTAATACCCTAACAAATCGACACTTTTTATAATACAAGATATTTTAAAAATATTTGGCTTTTAACCATTGTCTCATGTATTGCCAAAATACTCTAAGTGTTTTAAGGATGATAACAATAATATTATTTGTACTTATATAAATAAAATATTCATATAGGTATATGTTTTAAGAAAATGCTACGAATAGAAGGTTTTGAAAAGTTTGATTTTGTACTGTTAGATATTCTCTACAGAAAAAATAATAAATCTCTATACTATACAAAAAAAATACGCAAAACGAACATGTTTGTTCTCCGAAATAGTACACCATAACAATAAGTATTAGAAGTATTACTGATTTTCAATGCAATGACGATCGAATATATTAAAGACAATAGATTGTTAAAAATCTAATTTGGTAAAGTCATAAGCCAAAAAAACTTTATTGCACCACTATCCTTACGGCATAATATTCTATTCTGTATCCAAAATATGTTCAATACAAAATACTAGAACGGTAATATTTCGGCAAAGTACGAAAATACACTTGGTATATAAAACTAACTTGACATTCGTTTTTTAAAGTGCAGTTTTTTTGACTTAACCATTAAATCCTACTTGTTGAATAACTAGAAATTCCTATGTTGTTGCATCAATAGTAATTATTCGAAACTAATTATCAAAGTCAATTACCTAATAAAAAACTCAGTCATTTGCTTAATACATACCACTTATAGACTTAGATGGTAACGGGATCTAGGTGTTTGCCCAAACCCTACACTTGACTTCTTTAACGTATTTTTATAAAGTTTTTAGTCAGAGTCAATAATCGCAACAATGTTGAATAAACTTAGCCTTACACTTAATGTTTCACAGTACCAATTTGTCCTCCACTTTAATATCTATCATCAATTATATATCAATGCAAAATCACAAAGCAGTCTTTTAGATAACAAAAAGATTCGCCATCTTTAACATCGATCGAATATCAAGCAAATGACGTGAAAACATTTGAACTTGAGACATTGTGTCTAGGGATAGATAAAACGATTCTCGTAGAGATAAAAAATTTGTACCAGGCAAATACGCAAAAAATCCAAAATCCTTTTTAAACTATTCCTTAAACTTTCACTTGGCCAAATTTTGAGGCTTTAAAGACTTGGCACACAAAGTAAATGCAAAGATCGTGAAAGCAATTGGTTTTTTTCCTGCACTACTACAACCGACTTTTATCTATCCAGCCATCACAATTAACACCTGATTGCCAAACTGGGATTGTTTCACACTGCTGATTTATATTATTTTTTTAGAATAATTAATAATAATTCTACTTTGAAAGTGGAATATCTACAGTACATAATTATAAAACTAAAAAAATTTATATTTCATAACTTTTGTCATGTCAATAAACTTTTTTCTCTCTTTTATTTATTGGATTGGATGTTTTATATTTTTCAAAACAAGTTTATTAATAAAATTATAAACCAATTCAAAGACCCAGGCTAAAGTTAATTCCTTTGTGTTAAAAACTTGAAAGTGACTTTATCAAAAAGGTGGCCTCAATACGACTTACCTCTAATTGAACTGATGCGTCTCAGGTGTACATAAAAAAAAGAAAATCAGCTTTAAATTTATATTTCGCCGGCGACATCTTATATATTGCACAAAGAAAATTAAGGATATCAGCCACTTGTGGATAACTTTAAAACTTATTTTTTCGCGGAACCCCTTAGGGAAAAGGTTTATCAACAATACGAATTAAAACTATTTTTGAGATTCTACATTTACCCCATTACTTGGCTAGCGTTGGATAATTTTAAAAATTACATTTTTAATAACTCGCCCATTTTATGGACCGCGAGTGATTCAACCGGCAAGAATGTGAAACTATCCCAAAAATAATCAGAAAATATTCAATTTATCATCTTTAATATCAAGAAAAAAAGCATTCAAATATTTTCAAAAAAAAAGGAAAGGTACATGTCCTTACATCACTGAATAGAATAATTAATCTGTAATAAGAGATGTGATGTTGCTATACACAATTTAAAAAAACGCCTAAATAAATTCTAAGGAAAAAGGAATAAATTTTTTAATAACTAAATTTGTTAAATTGCTCGCGGGTCTAGCGCACGCAGGCGTCGGTGGGGGGGCCTGTGGTGCGGTAAATTCGAGAGCAAGCCTAAAATCCTTATACTCATATGTTATTAACCAGATTATTTGGAGTCTGACAGTAGGGGCACTCGCTCTGCGTACTTGCGCACGTGTCGCACAAAACGAAATGATTACAATTCAACGTAACTGTCCTATTCCTCTCCTCGCAAACCATACATTTCGAAGCGGTCTCCCTATACAGAACCTTTTCGATTTCCTCCAGATCCTGCCTCAATTGTGCGTGGAGATTTTTTAACATCCCCAAGGGCAACTTCGTCAACTCAGACACCTTGGTTATGCTACGGATGTGCGGGCCGCCCTGCAGATTTTCGAATTCCTGCTTGAGAGTATTATATTGATTGACCGTATCTTGCAATTTGTTTTCTACTTGTTTGGTTTTTCTGTTCGCCTCCTCCGTCTCCCTCTGCCACGCCTCACAAGCGGTCCTTGCTTGTTGCAATCGTTCTTCCCAATTCGTTAATTGTAACCTAGCCTGACTTAATTCTTCGCGTAACCTGAAATGGAGAGTTATTTGGTTTTGATGACTCCGGCCAAATGTTAAGCAATGTCAAAAGAGTTGAATATTTTAAACTAAAAAAAATTTAAAATGTTTTTTTTCTATGAAAAACTTCGTCTGTTTAAAAAAAAGTAGTAAAAAGTACTTTTCATTTTTTATGAGTACAAAAAGCGAGAAAATTACTATTATTTAGATAGTTACCAAGCTTAATTTTTTTTAATATCAATATAAAAAGCAAGTAATCTCGTAAACAAGCAAATAAATTAAAATTTTGGACAAAGTTTACATGCAATCTGAACGGACCTTGTCAAAATTAAACATCACTGTAATTAGGAAGTTGACAGATAGTATATATCGTGAAAGTATAAGAACTGTTTATGCCTCCTCAATTTGGAGATTATCTTCATTTGCAATCAAATTTTTCAAATCTATAATTTAAATTGCTCTACTTTTTTTGAAAAGGTGCCTCACGACAAGACTATAAAAGGCCATGCCAAGTACTGCTCGCTTATATTCGAGATATAAATGACTGTGATAAATTTTAAAATGAAAAATACTATTAATAGATTCAATTTCGATTTTTAACGCTTTTACTCTGTTATTTTGATTGGAATTATAGGTTTGGACCTTGTCTGTGCGATTGCGCATCATCCTTTTAAGTTTTATACTAAATGATTTTGATTTTTTAATTGCCAATTTACATAATAAATAATTTCAACAGCATTTAAGGGAAAAAAAGTTTTTAATTGTAATTAAATAATTAACTAACAAAACTAATCAAAACTACACTAAGAGATATCAAAAATATTGTAAAAACTGGCAAACCTAAAAACCAGTATTTTATGTTCAAAACATCTTATTTTCTTATTGGATTTTTTAACATTTCTAAAAATGCTGAAAACACTATGTCTTCTAAATGGGCATTTTCGGGTCACTTTTTGAGAGAAATAAAACACGAACCCGAAATATTTGTAAGCAAAAAACTGATGACCAAAACAATAATTAGCAGAAAATAGGCTTGAATAATTATATTAAATAATTTTAGGTCAATAGCTGACTCTGCCCTTGCCTAACTAACCAAAACTAAAAAAAAAATTGAACTCACCTAACCATTTCTAAATTATTGTTAACGCTGGGCGACATACTAAAACTGTTATGGTGGTTCCTAGAATTTGGCGATATGCTCTGCGGGAAATCGAAAAAGCTCGCGTAGCCGCTTAGCTTCGATGTGCTGCTGCTCAGTTGCATTTGTCCGTGGTTGAGGAAATCGATCGCGTCCGACTGGGAAAACCTAGTCGCGGAAAGGAACGGTTGAAGCGGACTATTGTTGGTGGGACTAAAACCGCTTAACCCGGACCTGGCGGAACTGGGAATGTTCACGGGGGCGGAGCTGCCCAAGAGGCCCGCGGACGAGGCCAACCCCACGGATATCGAGTTCGATACCGTCGGCGATTCGGATTCGAGTTCCCGTTCCAAAGCTCCGGAAATGTTCAAGTCTTCTAAATTTAGTTCATCCAGGGCGTTACCTAAAAGTATATTTTCGATGACGACTTTGAGGTTCGGTCGTGCGACTTGCTTACCGACGACACTTTCCACTGTATCGTTGCCGGTACTAAAGAACGATCCGCCTAAAGTACTGTAAGTGAAGCAGAGCGCTTGTTTCCTTTGTTCCCGTTCCAGCGGATCTAAAAAATGAAAAGGAATGCTTTGGATCATTACGCCACATAATTTCGGAAAAGTGTTAAACTACCTAAGGTCGAATCTTTTTCCGTAGCTAACAATTTATTAGTTAATTCTAGTCCTAGGCTGGGATGTCTTTGGAAAGGTACCGATTTATGCGCCAGTTGCGCTCCCGGAGCTTTATTACTACTACAACTATTTGATCCTATAGATGATGTCGACGAAGCTGATTCGCTCACTTCGCTGCTGCCATTCTAGAAATAAATGGTCGCTTAGTTTAGATGAAAGCTGAAAATAAAACAATACGAACAGAACTTTCACTACTTTTCTCTTTGATTTTCAAATCCGAACATGAAGGGGGAAGGGCATTCGATAGGATTTCCGCTAAATTTGTACCGCTAACATCGCCCGTATCTCTCGAAACGCCTAATTCTTCTGTAAGGAACTCAATTACGTCAGAATATACAAAAAAAAAGAAAGACTTACGTTCAACATGTGCGAAAGCACAAAACACCCCTCGGGGACAGTAACCCGATTGTTGAACATCATTGCATTTAGTACTTTTATATATTTCCGGATGAAATTGCTGTTCAGTCCTGGTATGACAATAGGAACATAGATCGCCCGCATCACAGTTGCCCGGCTCCCCCCACTCTTCACCGTGTTTAACATTTGGACAGGGCGTTGATCTGAATATAATATCGTGATATCGACTTTAGAGCAACCTATTGATGTTCTATCCAAAGGAAATCCGACAAATATTAATACAGTTGCCAGATTAAAAATCTATTTATAGATAGATGATAACTGCACAATAATTTTTAAATTATTGTTAAAACTTGCAATAAAGACTCGCAAGAATGAAGTATAGATTTTGTTAATATATTTGTTTTTTTTTTAATAGAATATCAAAATATACATGAAATTTGATAAAAAAATAAAACAAATTACCCATTACAATTTGATTGGTACCAAATGAGAAAAGTAGAAGATAGTCTTTTATTTGATATTTGCTGGAGTACAATTGTAAAATTTCGATGTCAAATATCAAGTTCCATTTCTGGATCTCGCAAGCCAACTGGATGGATATTTGTGATGATCATAGTTGTGTGGCACTATTGGATAGTTGTGAAAATTTTCGTGAGTTTTGTAAATATCCGAATTTTGTTTAGTGTTCAATAGGCACGCAAAGTAGAGTTAACAAGAATTAGTAATGAGAGGTTTTAGTTACTTCTGTTAATTCCCATTGTCGGTGGAAATCCTCTAAGAAAAACCTGGTCTTGCTGATTAAACAATATGGCCTGAATAGGCACATACACTGCGAAAATCTTCAATGCCAGGACTACACAGTTTTTTCTTTGAGAATTTCCAAATTGAGAGTAGCTAATACAATAAGACAGTGGTGCAAAACCATATCTATTAATATTGAATTTGAGGTCACAAAAGAAACAAACACTATTATCTATCATCACAGGCATAAGTATGATTATTGTGTGAGGGCTAAAAAGTTGGAAAGAAATCACAATGGATCGAAAAATTTGTGGTGTAATTGAGCTTCTTCAAATTCTAACCAAATTACCCTTTCTAATGAGCCTAAATTTAAACATTATAATGAAATTATAAAATAGCAAACAATCTTAAACTGATTTTGAAGAGTAAGTACTAAAAATGCCAAGTGAAACTGAAAAAATTCCAATCTGAATTCCACAAGGACTTTGTTTATATTCACGTAATATATAGTTTGTACTGATTTCACCTGTCACTTCCTTTCACCTTTGTTACCTCTTATTTTTAAATCTAAGTGACCAATAACCAACAGATTTATTCATATTCAGCAAAACTTGTTAGGTTTGTATATGATCTTTCAAACTGACTAAAATCGACTACTGGCATCCCGCCTAGAGCGAGAGCTTGAATTACTATAAAAGTAGAGATAGAAATTTCAACACACTACATTATCAATGTATCTCCTTTGTAGCCCTCTCCATATTCTTATATAAACTGCATTTTTAACAAGCAGTATAATTTAATTAGTCTATCTCTCTATGGGACTACGACTTATAATATAGAAAGTTTCCCTTCTTAAATTCTTCTAGGCTAAGCCTTAGTTTAAGTAAGCTGTCGGTTTTTCTTTGGACATCACATCATTGAAACAGCCATTAAATACCTATATTTGAATTTCCTTGGACTTCGTCGTTTATCTTTACTATTGTGATATTGGGGGCAAGCGTAGCCTTGCCTGCAAAGTCTCGGCGGCCTTTTGCAAGGTTCCGTTTTGTAATTGGATAACACGAAATTTGTATCTTGCCATTTTGGATCCTCGTTCATCAGATTTCTTTCTTTGTCCAAGGCATTAGGACCGTTGGTGGAACAACAGCCGTCTATTTCGGCCGCTTCCAGGGCTTGTATTTCTTTAATGTCATAAACTGGAGGTCTGTGGTCGTGACTCCCGTGCGCAAACGCACAATGGAGCCCATTTTTTACACAATAGCCTCGTGAATCCGTGTCGTGAACGCACATACACGTTTTGTAATATCTCAAGTGATACCGCCTTTCAGTATCTCCCGCCGTTCTATGTAAATATGGGCAACTAAAAGAAACAATGTAATCTAATAGGAAAAGATATAAAGAACTTGACACACCAATATTAGATCATTTAAGAACATCTACAAGTCTGATTTGAAACATCAATCAGTGACCCACTTTTGAATATTCGGATAAAATCAGGGGCAGTCAGCTATCCATTTTAATGATAATTTTGGTGAAGATTGGTCTCTTATTCAATACCGAGATGTAGTGGTAAAACATTAACTTTATTATAGCTTGTTTCTTAATGCGAGAGAGTAATAAAATGTAAATGCCAAGGATCATTAAACAGGGTGGACAATATAAAGCTATATAGCAAAGTTAAAAAAATTACAATGACAGTTTTCCTATTTCAGTGTTTTAAGATTTACACACCTTGAATCATTCCTAGTCTGCATACAATAAAAAGACCAGTTTGGTGAATAAAAGTAATGTGACCGGGGTGTTACTCCAGGTAGAACAAGAAATATAAAAATTATACATGATTGAGAATTGAGATATTAAATTATTCTAAGATTAAGTAAATAAATAGTAAAATAAATAAATTGTAATAAAATTATTAAAAAAATCTACTATTTACAATACAAATTCACTTGTAAATTTTAGTCAACATGTTTCGAGTAGCCAGATTAACTCTAGTCGTTCGAGTCCACAGATACCATAAATGGCTCCACAGTGTTTTCTAGCATGCTATCAGCTTCCCGCAATGTTTTTTTCTATTTCAATCACATGTTCAAAGCTATTATCCCATTTTCCACAATCCACTGTCTATGCCTTCTTGCAAGAGGGTTTCAATGTCCCCCATTTTAAAAATGGAATTATTCCTTGCCACAAGCCATTTTACTTGCGCTTATATCAATTCTATTCACATTTTGAAGTAGCTCCTTTTTGCTTGCTTGCAGATTTTCTTGAGTGATAGATGGCATTATCCCTGACTATAACAGTCCCACGAGGAACCAGATCACTTTGCCATTTTCAAGAACCAACTTTGCCAACAAGTGAAAGTAACTATACTTCTATTTTTAAAAACTAAGGCACAGGTAGGGCAACTACCTGCTACTCACTCGACACTTGACAATCATCAAAGGTACAATACTTTACCTAAGGAATACGTCTCAGACCACTTTTTTACAGTTCAATAATGATTTTTAACTTTCTCGCATTAAGAAACGGACCACAATAAACTAGTCAAACTGTATATGAAAGGCATTTTCAAATATTTGCAACCACAAGAACCATGTACATTTATTCAAACTACTTATTTATTTATACACCCTATAAAACTAGAATCATAAAACCCAAAATCGATAATTAAATACGCACTAATAAATTAGACAACACGCAAATAGTTGCCAAAGATCATGGTAGGTGTGCATTTGTTTTGAAATCAATGTTTTTGTTTCTGTCGGAAGTTGGGTTAAGGACGTTCACTGACTGTGAACCCAGTTACCTATTTTTATAAAAATTATTCATGTTTAACTTGAAAATTGTTTTCAAAATACTTGGAATCAACCGCATTTTAATAACGATGTCAGACAAATCGCTGTAAAAATCAAAACCTGTATGGTCAATGTCACACCCACAAAGAAAATGACAGAAAGGATAACCAAAAAAGGGGAACTCACTCGTCTCCATCAGGACAAATACCCGTAGTTTCGTCGTATTTTGTACAGTAATTGTCCGCGCTATAATTAAATGTTCCATCCCTGCGACGAACGGGTCTTCTACGCCTTTGGTTCATGAAATGCCAATGAAAACAGGTGAACGGACGATGCTGTGTACATTTGTGTTGCAAGAAGAGCGGGCATTGCTCGACGCGAAATTCTTTCAGGTATCTAAAAAACGACACGTTTTTTCTATATAAAACACGGACCGGATCACACGCCACCGAATGTGGAATACGTCACAATATCAAATACGCACTAAAAATACACTTACGAGTAATGATTTGGCTTTTCCGTCTGAGCTGTCAACAAAGGCTTTGACTCTGACGGCATTTTGTAATCACTAGCGCGCAATAAATCCGCGCAGGGCACGCTCGCATTTCGCGAATTAAATCCCGTGGAAGGGGTCACGTGGCCCGAGGAATCTCGGGAAAAAAACATTTCAAGGACATGTATGTTTTGATGCACGATTACGGCACCTGCATTTTTTTATTTACATAATGTTTTTATTGGCACAGAAATAGAGCATATTTTCGGGTACAGAAAAGGGTTGTCTGTTCACAGAAGAAACTACTAAAAAGCTCAAGCACATAACTTAGTCCTTCTTGTTGCAAGCGGACATTGAAACATCGGGTGATGTATACTTTTTGACACTCGCCTGTTATTTCAATTATTATTTAAGAGTTAGCAAGTTGCAGTACTGGCATACTTTGTGATGGAATGCAAGGATGTCATAATGGGTATTTTAGAGAAGGGAGTAGAGAAACAAAATTTTTATAGCAGATAAATGGAAAATTTTTCGTTTTTTGAGCATTCCTAAAACCTTTTTTATTGTGTACGCTATCCTATCCGGGAAAAGGGTTTTTTGACATATACGTCATTAACGCAGTATCATTGTTTAGAAAATCTAGTTTTTACTCATTTTTAATGAGACTGCTATTAAACTAAGAATAGTGACAAAATTTTATCATTAAACTCATTCATTTTAAGTTTCCCTCAATGTTTTTAGTTAAATATTTGTAGGAAAATTGAAAAATGTATTTTTTCTAGAATTTTAACCCATATTGAATTTACATTATCTGGACATAATAGTCATTATTGAGAAGCTTCGTGAGTGGAATTGAAGGGGTAAGCCCATGTTCGTTTATAAATAATGTTAAGTCGTTTTTTCCCTTAAAATTTAATAAGGTCTGTGTATATTACTTTGACAAAATATGAAAAGAGCTGCGCTCCAGCTGAAAACCGTCAAGTACACAAAGTATCTAGACAAATTTTGAGAAAATACTGCTGTAAAAATGACGTATCTAAACTTGACGAACTGTCAACGGCCATGTTGGTTGTTGAATGCCGGAAGGTCATTGGGTAAAAACGATATTCTAAATTTTGCGCATGCGCGTGTTGAATGCACCTTCCAAAAAAAAAAATTATAGTTGCTTCATAAGTTTCTGTATCAGCATTAGGCAGGGTCTCGTTCTAGTAGCTATAAGGATAAATCCTATCATGCTGTCAAGCAAATCCAAGTAAGTTACGAAACATTTAGTACGTTGGTTTAATGACAACAGAAACCACGATTATTCTGAAAAGCAACAACATTTAACTTTAATATAATCGGTGAGAAAAACCAGTAAAAACGCCGAAAAATGGACACACTATACAGATTTAATTTTATTTATGACATTAATCTTTTTGTTTTCTATTGAATTCATCTAGAGCCCATATATCTTTGGGTAAATATTTTAAAATTGTTTAATTGAAATAATAGACGGATACTGTAGTACTTAAAATATATTCATAAAAAAGAATACATAATAGCACAAGGTACTGCAAACACAGATTAAACGAATTAAAAGGATGCTCACATCTCGTTCTTGATTCTCGTTATTTTTGACCCACTACTTTCATAAAATCATATAGAGAAAATTGAATATAATAATAATTTATATTCATTTAAACTTATAGTCGCTTCGTCTAATTAAATCATCGCATGCCTAATCAAAATCGGGCAAATGATGTGATACAAAAAAATATTTGATAGCAAAATTGACTAGTTGTAACATACAACTTAAAATATAACGATGGATTAGAATAATATATTAAAGTATATGTGGATAATAAAGTCTTTAAAATATGTTTCATTGTGCTCGAAGTACAGCAAGTGTTTTATAGACCAGTTATCCAGGAATACTTATTAAAGCAATTTGTTTATTGGTACACTACTTATTGATATTAATACTACAAAAACAAAAAATGACAAATACGAAAATTATTATCGAAACTGTCAAATAATTTGGAAACACAATGTCATCCACGATAAGATTGTTAACCGATTCAAGCATATTTTAAGCAAAATACCAATAAAAAAAGGTTCTCTTGGGCAAACTACCCAAAGCTAAAATTTGCCTTTCTAACATTGATTTCTTTAATGAGCTCACAAAAAAAAAAGAAAACGGTACTGACAAAAAATACAAAAATTACACTTTAGTTTGCCATAAACCATCAACAATCTTTTGATGTGTAGGTATTTTTTTAAATTGCCTAGCAATGTAACTATCAACACAAAAAAGTTTTGAATTTGCAACCAAAAACCGCCGCGTTAAAAAATCGTGAATAAATGACACTCTATTATAGAATTTCATCTTTTAATTACAGAATTGATCTTATATTACTTAGATCTATGACTGGCGTTTTCGATTTATCAATGTTTCACAAAAGATTTAGTGCAGTCGGACAAAAATATTTGCATAATGAAAAATGTCTATAAAATTGCTATTATGCAAATCTGTTCTACTTTATAAATCTTACTTTACGCTAAAGTTATGTATAAGTATCTTATTAAAATTTGTTTTATTCACACTAAGCAGCTTACAAGACTTTCTATAAGAAATATGCGAAAAGGGACGACGTCTTCTATAAAAACAAATTTAATGCAATGCAATTTTGATATCCGCAATATTTTTTAGAACAACGTTGACGCTGCCTTCGAAATGAGGCAATTGCTTCATGTTGAAAACTTTTAGATAGTTTTTTATTTAAAAAAATTATCTATCTATTAACTCTATTAAAATTAAATCAAAACGAAGCAACTAAGCTGCTGCGGATCAGTTTCCCACACCTAGGAATCAGCCATTATTTATAAAATAATGTATTTCGATCGTATAACAAACAATCCCTTTCTAATAAAAAAAATTATAAAAAATCACTAGAGAAATTAAAGCTGTCGAGTATCATCTACATGTATATTTTGATTTCGAAGTAAAACGTACTTTGCTAGAAAAAAATAATTGGATTAATAAATTCAATTTGTTAAACAATAAAACATAATAAAAACAAAAAAGGTCTAAAATAATTTTCTTACCTTGGCATATTTAAGCACAACACTAATAATAAGCGCTTCTATAATGTAGCTCCCGATTCATTATGATTACAACCCTATATGTTTTTTATATACTTAGTTAACTAAATTAATTTTTCTTTTTAATTTTAATATTCAAAGTTTGACTTGCGTAATTAGAGTCTTGTTTATGAAATTTTATCAAAAGGGAGTCAACTTTATAGAAGGTCTTTTCCTTGTCATGTTAATAATCATAAATATATATTATAGAGGAATATTTATGAGAATACAATAACCAAAACGAGAAAAACAGTATCGTATTCGCTAGGCGGCAACAAAATTAGCTTTTTTTTTCAACACTACAATAATCGATAATATTCAATTCAATGAGATCAGACCGTTGAACATTTAAGGCACAAAAACACATTTTGAGAATTTCACGGTGGACTATATACGAGGGAAAAAAAGAAACGAAAAAGATTGCATTCTCACAAACGTCCATCTTAGAATTTTTAAAAATATCACATTTCCATGCTCACATCAGCCCACATAAATAAACATGAGCGAACAAATAGAGAGCACAAAATAATTATTCATAACAGCAGCTTATCAGACCGTCGTCCCATATGTGCTGAATACAACCCTAGTGCTATCGCTATCCAGAGTAACGTCCTCTGGACTCGCGAGATCCACCCGAACGCTGCCGGAATTGTTGCGTTTCCGCTGACCCCAATTACTCAGCGTCCACTGGTAAACTCCATCCGTTGATTGGGACTGATTCGATTCGTCCACCCTGTCGAGGGTACCCGAACTGGAACTTACCGTTCCGAACGAATCTGCTCCTCCTTTAAACCGCCCAATACCTGGACAACCAAATAGAATATATCCAGGCACGTTTTAACTTGTAGGGGGTTACTGTTTGAAATGAAATAATACAATCTATAATGGAATGTGGACCCCGCCCTGACGTCAAATCGATATTTTGTACCCCCCAAACGGGATAAAAATAGGTGACCACCAATACATTTTTTAAAAAAGTTAGGAGAGAGGATCATACCTTCTATACGAAAATACGATGGGTCTGGGGGCCATTAGTTTTACACTATTAGCGGCCCCTATATCATCAAATAGCTATATGGTCGCCATTAAACATCTCGCAATCAAACTCACAACCACGAAGCCTACCAAACATTCCACTGTTGTCAAGTAATTTAGATTGTGGAGAAGTGAAAATTAGGCATAAATCGCAATGTTGGCAGGATGGGTCAGGACTTTTTAAAATTACCGCTTGAGGCGTGCTTTTTTACTGGTATAATATAATTTAATCAATGAATTTGTTCGGTCCAAATCGCATAAAAGAAAGATTGCTGCTTCGCAACTTTATTCGGCCCAAGATTATGATCGTAACCGGGCAACTCACTGACACTGGCGAATCATTGTCGAATAAAGTTAAAACAGAGAGTAATAAATTGCTGTAAATTTAAAGCGCATCCCCAATCACTTGTTCTGCAATACGTATATCACAAACGTAATAATCCGAGATCATTTGAGATTATTAATAACACTGTACTGCTATTTGGTTTGAAATTTTATACAATAGAATGTTATTAATGCAGTATAATTTTCATAGTAAGTGTAGTTGAATAATTTATAGAAGTTTTTACGTGACCTTTTATGAAAATAGTGAATTCTCGAGTAATTAGTGATTACGTTTTTTGCTCGTGCGTTTATGGTATTATTTTATACGAAATTTGTAAATTATATGATATCATCTCAACAACATCCAACATGCACTGGGTGCAATAATGGCACATATCAAAAAATAGCAATTTTTAGTTAAATGTACCATAAAATTCGCATATTTGTAGTTTAATAATGAACAATACCAGCACAGAGTTATCTTACTTCAGTCCTGCTAGAGAGAGTTAGTGCCACTATTGAATTTCACGCATTTTTTAACGATCTTACGCGCAAAACCGGCACTAAACCCAGTGTGTCTGTGATCGCCGTTTAGTACGCAATGTTGGAAAAAAGCGCGAAGAAGAACTTGTAAAGTCGAGTTACGATCATTCTTTTGATTTTAAAAACTAGTAACTCAAACTTATTTTACCTTTCAATGGAATAGTTCAGGCGATATTGTCAAAATAAATGACGCATGTGATTTCAAAGTGAAAAAGATGCTCCTTACACATATTTCTATAAAACGTCTTTTGGTGAAACTGACTTCTGAAGCATAAGCATTATGAAAAGAAAAATGCGAGCAGACGCGATTTTTACATATTTTGGAAATGTGAATCTAAACCGTGCTTATCGAGATGTTATACTAGTTCCGAAGAAAAAGTTTAATTACTTAATGCACAGTCACTTTTAAAAGGTGACAAAGACAAATGTCACGGTTTTTTAGTTCTTTTAAAATAGTACTTTCTGTATATTTTCCAAAAAGTAAGTCAGTTGGTTGTTGCTTTTACTGTAGAATAGCTTAGCTTTGGTTTACATGCCACGATAATTCTTGTTTCTTATAATTTTAACAACAGTAGCTCTCTACCAAAAACTAAAGGTCCGCTGTTTTTTATTATTTCAGTGTTGAAAGACTACTAATCTGATTCTTTTATTTTAGAAATACTACCTACTTCGACATTTTTATCATAAAATGATGTTAAAACTTTGATCTACTGTTTTGTTGAGAATTTAATTCAATCACTAACGGCACAAAATTTAATAACATTTCAAAAAGAACCTCAAAAATTAATTTTTGTTTTAAAAAGAGAATAATATAAAGACATATCACTATAAATGTTGTAATATAGCTGAGTTGATATGAGTGTACCTAAACATTTCAGATTGTACCCAGTGAGCAATATGTATGCTTTCTGATGAGCGTAAATCAAAATAACTCTTCATTTTTCATTAATGGTAAATATTCTATAGATTATAGTAATTTCAAAATAATGCTTGAAGATTTTCATTGCTATCGCACTCACCGCTATCATCGGGAGAAATGTGACATTCTTCGATGCACCTCAAAATGCTCTGACATATGTCCGATTCCAAGGATATGGGTTCGTCAGAATCGCGGTTATATATGGTTACGGCTATTTGAGCAGGATGCGGAACCGGTAGTGGAATAATCATCTTGTCAGGAGAGTATGGGTGACAATTCCTTTTCCAGGGCATCCATATTGTCGTCCTCGTATTCCGAAATGACCCTAACGGTGTCGCACATTCCCTACATAATGACAAACCATAACATCTAAATATGGCACCCACACAAACTCACTCACATTTTCTTTTCCGCTTTTTTGCCGGTAGCCGATTGTTTTGCCCTGGGGTTAAATGCGGACACTTCCAGATACGGGGAGTGCACTTGTATATTGCCCCTTGGGGTGTACACGTTTCCGAGTAAGTCTGGGCCGTTTGCGCCTAAATCGACATTTTTCAAGCTTTTACTTTGAGGTTGTTTTCCAAATTATATAGCATAATTATATTAGACAGTGATCCTCGTTTGATGAAGTATAATATACACCCACATACTGCTTCAAAACGCTTCCAAAAATTTCAATCCAGAACTAACAGCAACCTTTTACTTTCCTTTTATTTAATATTAGATGGATTTGAGAATCGACCTACACATTGTCAAACTCTATGCTGTTTAGCATAGCAAATAGCAAACAGCATAAAAGTACAAGTTATTGTAAATTGCAATAGTAATACGCAGTTACATGCAGTTAGTTATAGAAAAAGTAATTTTTCTTTTTGACTTCTGATAGAATAAATATTTGGATCATTTTTTAAACATCAAGGTATTGTTTTGACTGTAGGTGTTGTTTTCTCTTTGACAAAAGTGAAAAAAGTTTCGATTTTATCGGGCATGTTGTTAGTATTGAATTAAACATCAATATCGCTTACTGGATTGTGAAACTTTATTTGTTCTCATTGACGTTATACATATTTTGCTTTGAATTGTATTATATTCGAACTATTCCATGGTTACTTTAACTTCACAATTAACATAGCAGTTGCTTGTTCAATATTCTTTGCATTTATTTGCACTGTTATAGTTCCAGCATGTATTTTATCGGTCAACTGTTCGTTTCACTGAAAAAGTGCCATTGTTGGAGTTCCATAATTTGTTGGATATTAAATTTTTATTTTTCTTCCACAAGTACCCCAGATATTAATGCGATAATTTATGATTGCAACTTAAATCCGCCCTTTGTAATTTTTTTTTGCGAAAAACTCCTTTGTTATTGTGTCCTGAGTATTTGGTGAAATGCGCCCATTTTACCGAAGTTTTATTTATTTTGAGTTGTGCCTCTATATGTGCTATATTTTGGTGTTTGAATAGCATGTAAAGAGATTTGGTTAGTTTTTTTCTAACTATAACTTTGTCCTCTGCAAATGTAAATGCGGGCAGCAGCTTACCTAAATCTGGTCAAAATAGTACATTTTAACAAAACTCCAAATTTAAACAAAAAGTTGAACAAAGCACTTTTAGAAGATTACGGAGGATGGGAACAAATAATTGGAAAGTATTTTAATTTTTTATTACTCTTAACTTATGATTGGATAAAAAAGTTCTTAAAAATCACAAAAGATATCCATCCTTTTGAGAAATGGTCAAATCGGTGGTTCGAAAGCTATATAAAGTTTAATTTTTGCAGACTTATGTATATAGATAACCTCAGGACACCTTAACAATAGAGTGATAGTAATAATCTGTTTAGTTACCAGTTGTGGTTTTTATAATTGTAATGTACAATTGTAACTTTGCCATTGACCATTTAATTTAATTCTCTTTACAGTTTAATTTTATGATGTTTCAGTTCAAAATTTTCCAAACGAATCTTTGTTAAAACTTTTGTTTCAAAGTAAAGCTAAAAGGTATTAATTTTATTAATTAAATTAAGCAGCGAACTTTCCTGGATCCCTATGACGCGATATATTTCTAATTAGTTGTAAATAGGAAGCTCAAACTTTCAGTAACTAAAATAAGTCACAGTTCAGCACACGCGACCTTCTATGAACTCAGTTATGAAGTTTGATCAATGAATACTCGAGTATATTCATGTAGATTTGGCCAGATTAATCATCCACAACGTGTTACAACGAAAATAGTGGGGAGTAACAAAATGAAAAGAGAAATCTGAAAAAAGACAATACCCAAAAAAATTTTCGTCAAAAATCCAAACAACAGAAAGCTGATATCTGTGTCTAACTAAAAACAGATTTTGTTCAAATCAGAAAATGAAGTTTTAAGTTGATATCTGCAGGTTTGATGTTATAACTGAAAGTGACCTTTTAAGTTGATTACTGTTGATTTGCTAATATTTGTGTTACAATAAGCAGTAGAAAAGTCGTTCAGTATCTTACCTAGTTGGGCACACTGGACCATATCGGTGTACCTGCTCAAATCCGCCTGCGGGTGCGGATCGAGCTTGAACGTCGTATTCGTGTGATCCAGAGGCGTGAGAAAGTCCAAGCTAAACAGTTCGGAATAAAGTAGGGCGGCCAAACCGGCCCAATCGCCTGTGCTCAAAGCCTTGCCATCCCAGAACTCCTCCTCCGTGCAGCAGAGCCGCTGCAGCACGTGATTCGGATAAAACTTCTCCAACATCATCGCGCCCTGTTGTATGGCGATCTTCAATTCCAACGTGGTCAGCTTGATCTTACTCTTCACCGTCACGCTCAGCCCGCTCTGCAAATCTCTCCGTCTCCTCTCCAATTTCTCGTGTAACGCGGCCAACAGGTCCTGCGCTTCCTTTTCCAGATTCTTGTACGGACCGCTCTTGGAGAGCTGCGCCGAGAAACTGCCGAAACAGGCCTCGACGAACTGCGCAAAGTCCTTTTGCGGCTGCACGATGACGTTTTCGAGAACCGTTTGGTAAGCGGTCAGCTCGTCCCACTCCATTTTCGCCTCGAACGCCGCGAGCGCCTGCTCCGGCGTTATTTGGAAGTAATAATCGGAAGCGAGACCGGGACCCGCTACCCTCTTAACGACGAAACTGTCGGAGGCCGGTATCCTGCCTCGCTTTTTGATGATCAAATGGAAGATGGTCGCATCCCAAAGCAACCTCGACCAATACCTGACGATGCCGCCGGTGAGGATGATAACGAAAACGATCGGACAGACGACGGCGGCGAGGAATACGGCCGCCAAAGGCTGTATCAGGCCCTGGATGCAAATGTTCCAAAGCAACGCCTCGAATATAACGAAAAAGCGGTTCCTCTTGGGCTCGGGACTGTCCAAGTCGTAAATCAGGGCGTTCAGCACTTGGACCAACAAGGTCAAAACGGGCATCCACACCACGGTACTCGCGGCAATAATCAGGCTCGTGAAGATAACGGTCAAACAAACCAACGGAAAAATTACCACCAGGCAGATGGTACCGAACAGTCCTTTCACGAAATAATTCCAGACGCGATTCACGTGACGGGTGAAGCCTTTCCCGATAAACCCGGTGTCCGGTTTCGTTTCGAAATGCGTCCTCGATTTCGATATGTGCCGCCAGAGCGTAATTAGTCGGGAAGATAAAGTGGCGGTCAAGCTGGATTTCCTAGGGAACAGGGTGCCGTTCACTTGAGAAAGCTCCAAGTCGGGCATGAAGGGTTCTATAAGCAGGAGAGCCCTCACGCCCACCGGGCTACACCAAGGCAACACGATCCCGAAAAAGAACATCGCGTTCCAAGTCCAGCACCACGTTCTGTGAAAGTAATTGAAAATCCTCCACAACGGCCACCGGGTGGTGTTGGTTCTTACGATTTCCTTCTCAACAAGGAAAACCTACAACAATCGATGCGTCGTGAGACTTACAAAGGGTGAATCTTACACGCTCGTTCTTACAGGTTGGCTCGGATCCGATCGCGGAGTAGTTATGCTGGTCGCTTGCTTGCTCAACACCGTCGGAATGATTTCCGATTGGCCCTGAAAATTTCGCCTGACAATCCAATTCGATGGCAGCCATATCTGGGTGGGCCAGAGGAATGTTCTTGTCGGCGTTTTTACTTTTTTCAGCTCTCTTAGTAAAGCTGGTTCCCTCTGAAAATTGAGTGCCTAAATGACTGATTCATAACAAAAGGCAGGGTGATCTTAGATTCAGATTAGTTAGGACTGATCTTAGATTCACAGTTATGTTTTAGTAATCATGTCGAATATGTACGCAAAAAGATTGGAAAGACGATAGGGTTTTTAACCCTGTATGCTGGCTGTTATCGCAATGGAAGCATATAATTCCCCTAATTGCGCCTCATTTTTCGTACATTTCTTCGTTGATTGTGTATTGCACCACCAATGAAGATTTCAACAGTTTACAGATAAAACAAAATATTGTTGTGCGAATTATATTGAACCGTGATAGATATACTCCTAGAAAGGGTTAAATTGGCTAAATCTCAGAATATTGGAAGGGCAAATTTAATTTTGGTTTATGGAATTGCGCATAACCACCAACCAAGCTGTCTGAAATTATATTTGGAAAGAAGAACAAATTTTTACGAATATAACATGCGTTTCAGTCAGCAATTTAATGTTCCTATAGTAAAAACTACATCCCTACAAAAAACTTATTTCAATAAACTACAGGTTAATATTAAAAATGTGTCTTGCCTAAAAAAAAACAATGTATTTGCGTGGTTTATACTTTAAATCGCCCGGTGCTAGAATAAATAAATAATTTTTTTAATTAATAAACATTACACAATACAAGATTGAACTGACGGAAATTGCTTCAATGTATTATTTGAAAAAATGAAAATTATCGGTTATACAAATGTCTTTCCGCAATCGTGGTGTTTCAGGAATTGGGTGTCAAAAATCCTCTGTGCATTCATATTGACCATCCTGAAATTCTCAGCTTTGCAAATATTTGACAGTTTCCTTCCATAATTTTGATAATTAAAGTGATCGGATAACGATCCTGTTACGTAATTTTAATTAGTTTAATTACATTTTTATCATATCATGTCAAGTACTTATACCGGCAAGCCTAATGGGCTGAGCCCGGTTCTGATCCGGGCGGCCCCACATCTTGTTTCAAGAAAACGGGTGTACACAGGGGTCGGAGCGAAATAAAAGACGCATAGATAGTATACAAGCAGAGTACTGCACTCGTTCCGAGTCAGTCGAAACTAGAAGTCGGAACGCGCGAATTAAATTACCGGTCGTGTGTATAGTGAATATTCTATAAGTATGTAGTCAATGCCTTTGCTAATATTTAAGTTCCATTAAGTTTTACGAGGAGTGACTTGTTTAATAACCTTACCAATTTTCCTCAATTTTTTTCAATGGCTTCCTTTAAGAGGGGATATATGTATAAATAAGAGTGTACAAGAACATCAACATTATATTGATTGCTTAAATTTTTCTAGACAGCTTGAGTAATATATCAACGATCTTCCTCAAGCCTTTTTGAATGGTTGGCTGGCGTTGTTTCTGGACGACATTAATTTCTTAATAAATAAAACAAAATCTTACTGAAGCACTTGCTGAAGCTAACTCTGAATTAACAAGAGCTAAGGACTGGTTTGCAAAAAATAGCTGAAATCTGAACGAAGGGAAAACAGTTTCTTTAATCTTCTCTCAAAGGCACATCAACAAAGTAAATAATGGACAATTCACTTAGGCCTTAAACTAAACTAAATAGGTGTTACCACACAGTGGATAAAAAAATCTCAAAAAAATATATTTTTTAAACGTAGCTTAAACTAGGTTGTACCATATTGACAGCATATCATGTTCTAATTGGCTACCACTTGTTTTATAGTCTGATAAACTGGGGTCAGGCTAAAAAGCGTAATTAGAATAATCACAAACCTCAAACACAGAGAGAATGTTAGATCTCAATTTTCAGAGCTTAAAATTCTTCCACTACCAAGGGTTGATTTAGTTAAATGTTTAGTTTACGCTTACGAGAATAAAACAGATTTTTTACATGTGAATAAAATTCACGCCTACAAAACATGGAATAGGGACCATCTCAGACCTGATTTCTTCCGTCTTGATGCGAGCAAGCTAGGTTCAAATTACTACTGTATCCATTGTTTTAATTAACTTAAGCCCGAGAAAAAATTACTCCCAATAAACAGGTTCAAAATCTTAGTCAAAGATTTTTTAATAAAGCAATCATTTTACAGCTTGGAGGGGTTTATCTTTTTTCAAGATATCAATAACTATATCTAGTCCAATGATTGCAGCTCTTCGACTCCCCACTTTCGGTGGTAAGTTTCTGTGATAATCTTCGTTGAGCTTTAATGTAAGTCCAGATGCGCACAGAGGGCTTTATGTCATATGTGTATGTTATGTTGTAAAAATGTTATTCTATGACTGAGTGTATACATTTTCTATGTTTGCAACATGCTAATAAATTAAATGAATTGAAAAATGAAAAACAACAAAGTATCCATTCTCAGAAAATAACAGTTCTTTCTGACAAAAGCAACAAAAGACATATAGCGAAAAGTGTCACTTACCTCCTTCATAAATGCCAAATCCCTGTTGAGAAAATAAACAGTCTGATACAACCTCTGGGAGTTGCACAACGCGAGGGCTTCTTCGTGCGAACACCACTGGTTTTCGACGCCAAACTTCTGTTCCGAACTTCTTAACTTAGCCCTTAACCAAGGTTCTATTCTAGATAAAATTGGATGGAAACTGCGAAGCCTATTTTTGACTTCTTCCTGAGTTTTTTGCAGTCGATGTTGCACGTTCTCGACTGCTCTGTGCATTAATACTACGCTTTGGGCTTGTTGTACGAGTAATTGAGCAATGCCGGTACCTAACGCCGCAATGTCCGCATTCGACGTTATACTATCGTAGACCCTCTGCAGGTATTCCCTCATGACCGCGTCGTTTACCTCTTTTTCGATATCTTCATCGGGCATTTTTTGGGCCCGCAATTCGGCAATCAGTCTTTCACGAAAATGCAAGAACCATCCCCTGGTCTCTTTTTCCAATATGGCCACGAGAATTGGTAGCGCTTTGCGCATCAAACCGCGGTCCCATAATCTTAAATCTAATTCAGATCCGGAGGGCGTTAAAAACCTATAAGGTAACGCTACGGGCGGCTGGCTACACTCCCGCGCTACTTCGAATTTTTCCGTCACCGCTCTCCTCAATTGCTTTTTAATGTAAGAGCACAATATCTCCAAGGAATCTTCATTCTCGGACTAAAAATCCGGTCTTGATAAATAAATAACTTCAGGGAGACATCTTACTTACGCGACATAACAATTCGGCGACCAGATACTTGCTCCTCTCTTCCCTAATTTTAGCATCTAAATTATGCGCCTGCAAACTCGGAATACCGATAACGATGTCTAAAATTCTAAGAAGCCCGATAAGCAGAGCCTTGGTTGCCTGGGTAACGCTAAAAAAGTGGGAGAACAACCGCCCCCTGGCGGTTACGAATATAAAGCGCAGAGCTAACGCCAAATCGTTTAACAAGGAGTTGTGACTATTTTCTCGACCCTTTTGAAGGAGCTGCGAAAGTCTCCACCGATGCTGTTGCCCGGGGAAATTAAACGATTCGACTTCGAACTCGCTAAAAATTCAAAAATTTCATAGCACCAAACGTACCCTCCCCGGCATTCAAACAGTAAAACTTGCACAGATGTTGGCCACACGACGTTTTTTTAAGTTTTGGAAAGGTAGAATTGAAGCAAAACTTAAAAGAAAGCTACACAAAGTCCTTCAATCACGTGACGTAAAAACAAATGCTCAAAAATATTCCAAAACGAGAATTTTGTAGACAAACTTAAGATAGGAGAAAAGTTGGAAACAATAAAAAAATCACACAAATACAAAACAAATTAATGCACAAATAACCAACATACCCGTGTAATCTAATACTTTCAAGTTGTTCCTGGTTCAACCTTTTCGGTTTTCCAAATTTATCCTTGTGCAAGCTTTACAAAACAACATCGCAATATACAATTTGGACAAATCAGCATATCAACAAATATCCTTACATATGGACGTTTACAGAACGAAAAGATAATTAAAATTTCACCAGCAAACCTTTAAATTTACTTAAACTTTGTTTAATAATGGGAGCACGTAATGATGATATCCAAAAAAACGCATTCATTTCATTTCATCCAGAAGCCTTTCTTATCTTACAATATATGGAATATATAGATTACTAAATAATTAAATATTAAACATTAATTTACTAAAAAACTTAAACTAATAATGTCTATGATCTAGGACAACTTTGTGGTGAGTAGAGCACCCAGTAATACAAAGTTTTTGCCGTTCAAAATGTTCTTTTATTCAACCATTTACCAAATAAAATAAGTTATAAGCATAAAATTTTATACTTGCTAACAAAAAAATTAATGCAGAACTAGTATCGGGAATACTGCATGTGTACAATAACTTACCCTCTTTCTTTAATATATTCGAGTTGCTTTCCGCTAAGCCTTCTTGGTTCGCCTTTATTATCCACGGCAACGGCGTCGAGCTCATCGAATGAAGGAGCAATAAAAAGGTCCCTGAGATGAAATTTGTTCTTACATCTGGCCAATGAACCGTCTGATGAAACTTGAGATGTTGGAAAGGAGTCACACTGAGACAAGGGACTAGGTAGAACTATTAAACAAACATGACCAATCAATCCAAGTTTCAATTCAAGTTGGTACACAGTTTAATAGACTATTTGGCCTGGCCTCTTGAAGTGATATTTAACGGCTTTTAGTGACATCATAAGACAGTAAAGAATGTGAGAGGTAAATTTGTTTATTTAGCTGTATTTTTTTAGGATTACATGCACCACAAAGAAAGTAATTCACATGTATGTAAATATTTATTTAGCTTATTAAAAGGTAATAGAATTATTTTTTTAAGTTGCTATTCTGTCAGGGAACCTTATTTATTGCGTGATTTAACCAATCAGACTGTGGTTAGTAATTGGGCAGCTAAAGAAAATAGTTCGTTTTTTTATATCATATAGGCTATTCAATACTTAGTGGTACAATCTGACACAAAAAGAATGCCACTTACTAATTGGAAATGTTTTCCAATGATAAAGGAACTGTTCAGCAACTTGTTTAATATTGCAAACAAGTTGTTTAACTTCTGGAGGGGCACCTATTAAATTGACCTCAAATTTAATAGGTTCTCTTTCAGGCTGAATTGTGTCTGGTCCTACTAATCCACTGTCATTTGACTTTAATGGAAATAAAGATGTTGGACGATTAGATTGAAGTCCCCCTGCATGAAGACCTTGGGATGAATGAAACTCAACCTTGTTTGCTACTTAAAATTGACAGTATTGATATGTAAAATATGAAAATAACAAATAACATACATCCCTGATTCCTTTCTTGATCCCTCTCATTAACTCCAGATTTTGACCTATGATGGCCATGTCTCTTATCACCGTAATTTTCAGAATATATACTTTGACCAGAATCTGATCTCTTGTGACCTGAACTTGAGGAATTATGACGATGGTGACCTTCAGACTCGACTCGTCTATGTCCTGTTTTAGAACCAGAGTTTGGTCTGGAATTCATGTTAGCCTATTACTAAAGGCATCAAAAAAATGAATGCCCTTGTTTACTGCCACTTATCTACTAACAAATCCATAGCGTTTTGGCGAATTTTCACCTGTAAAATTGAATTAATTGGTTTATTAATAAAAAACTCGGTAAGAATTAAATAATTGTTGTTAACGTTGATTAATTTAAAAAAAACTCAAATTTAAATGGCTAAAGAGAGAAGGAAAAGTGATGCGATTAAAAAACTTATTAAAACGAGTTTAAAACTTAATTTTTGGGCTAATTTTAATATATGTTTATAGAATATAACGAACCAAACAAAGCTTCAAATTTAACCCAATTTAAGAAGAACTATATTTTATATTGAGTCTAATTTCATTTAGAGACAATAAAAAATTCAAGAACTACCTTTAAAAAAGCAAAGGAAATACCTACCAAATTTTTATTGTTGAAAATTTCATGGTAAAATAGTATTCAATAGTTTAGATTGTAATAAAAGCAGCCGACGGTCTCGACTATATTTGAACTTTGCCTCTCATCTTGCATTTTTCGCTGTACATGTTAACTAGAACACTTGAAACTTGCACTAATTTCACATTCCAATCGTTTCATTTTTAGATTTATCAAATAAATAATACTCCTTCCAGAATACAACACACATCACACGACACCCTTTAACACGAAAAGTTAAATTTATTTTGGCGCTATCTGGTGTGCAATAGTTTTTTGCAGATATCTTTTTCCAAGGGAATTGCAGGCCAAAGATAAAGAAGAATGCTGCCTTTCTAATTATTGATTTTGTAGAGACTTATTCTGTGGCTGTCGTTAACCTCAAATCCGTGTTGTCGAAATTATTGCAACAAGAGCCATGGCTGGAAGTCGTTTGGAGAAAATAGGAACCATTTATACTAGGTAATAACTATCGAACACTATTTTGAATGTACAGAATTACAGTCTTTTAGAGTTAGTGGTTTAATTCAGTCTGGTGCTTTGAATTGGCAAGACAGACCACTTTGGTTTGATATTTATAAAGCGTTTCCACCAAAAGAAGAACCACAGTTTGATAGACCTGTGCCAAATATGAAGCTAAAGAAAATTTTTTATGAGGAGGACCGCATTCGAGCGTAATGAATTTTTCATACTATATTGGGTGCACTCTCATTTGGTGTTTTAGGATATTTCATCGCAATAATAAGCAAATTGGCACCATAAATTTGAATTCTGACCAAGAATCTCTCACCCAAAAATTTATAAATGTTTACAGTCAACTGGAAAATAAATATTCGGCTGATGCATCTGAAGAACACATATATAAAGAAGCAATAGATATCTTGAACCGTGATAGAGAAGTAAGCCAGGAAAATGATTCTGTTAGTGAAGAAGAGCCTATTAGTTTAAGTTCAGCATTTAAAGAAGCTCAGAACAAACATCTAGTTCAAAGTGAAATAAAAGTCTCTGTTAAAGATATTTTTAAGGACTAAATTGAATTAGTTTTGACAGTTTATCAAGAAAAATAGTACCTTATGCTAAATAAATCTATTCCCATTTTGGTTAACACATAAAAGAGTGTTAGTATTGACGATAATTAATCCAATAAATTTGTGATATAATTGATTTTAATCTGTTAATAACTACTCACTATTAATTTGTTTTAATTCCCCTTTATTTAGCTACTGTTTCATAATTCAATTCAGGCAGTTACAACTAGGTTTTAATCCATTTTAAACAAATTGATAACAATAAAAATATCCAAGGACCCCTGTGGAAATTGAGCCCACACCTCTGACAATTTTTTAGGTTCATAAATATATATACCGAAAATCTCAAATACTATAACATATCCCAAAGTTTTTTTCTTTTTCAAAATATTCGTAATAATGGGCAAGTCTCCTAGAGAGATCGAGAATTATACTTTATTGGTAACTAATCACTATTGAACTTTGACTTAATAAACTGATAATAAGTAAACTCCGATTCTAACTTAGACTTTAAACCGTTTCCAAAAAAAAACACACACATCTTTAGCATAGATTATTGAAATATATTAGCTTATAATATCACCTTAGCTCATAAATAAATAAATAAAAAAATGTTCCATTCTGTTTCTGTTCTGTTTTGATATCCATTTAATTTGCTTCTGGTGCATGTTTTGTAAAAATCTCGTACAGCGCTGCAGTTTTTGCGGTTCACAACTTTATATCAGTTCAATTAAGTTCAATTATGCGTTTCACAAAAAAATGTTGGGCTCGAGTGCTAGGATCATTCGCCCATTGCCGACTTCCGTCGAGGATCTTCGCTTTTGGTAATGGACCAACACGTACAAAGAAGACATATAACCAATATTTGCTCAACTAGCAAAAAACAATTTTGACCGATACCAAAAAAACCGACACCCCCCCGCTTCCACCACGGACCATCCGGGCCCATCCGGCCTCCATACCGGCGTGAACGGTTAAAACAATGGGGCCGGCGGAACTTTTACACTTAAAATTTACATCAGTTAGAGAGCGCATGGAAACTGTTGTTCTTCTTCTGTTGGTCAAGACTGCTACGATCATTCGGCCAAAACTGTTGTTTAAGTTCTAAGGTTTATTAGGTTCTTCTTCCCTTACTTCTAATAGCCATAATTACATAAGTTTATTTGGCCAGCTTACAAAAATTGTGAATAATAATTCAAAAATTCTAAAGGATGCCTTCGTAAGAGAAGGGTCTGGACCATTCCATCATCCTTCAGATTCGTTAACATATACTTAATACAATAATACTAAGTTTATTATCAATCAATACACGCCACTATATCACGACTACAATATACCGCTATTCATATTAATTGCCGTAAATACATAACCAAGAAAATAAACGTTAAAAAAATAAAATAAAACAAAAGATTATTTAGTAGAAGTGGGAGTGAAATAATTATGATTATTTGATAAATATACTAAAATAACAGCAAAGAAATACTTCTTGAGAATTAAACTTATAGGTCTTATATAATTATAGAAAGTAAAAAGTGTTAATGAAAGATAACGAATACCCTACCTAAATTATACATGTAATTAAATATGGAAAAATCAATACAAATTGGAAAAGTCAAAAGGGTAATGAAAAATCGAACGGTAACAGAAGACGTAGTTTAATAGACTAGCGAAGTAGTGATAAAATTATGTTGTAAAAACAAGCCTGTTTTGCAATGTAATTGTATTAAATTTATTAGCCATTGGTTTGTCATGATCAGGTACAGATTAGTCTAGTTCTGGATACGTTTCCTTGGTTATATGTTTATATCATTGTTGGGGATATTTTCACACATTCGATAATTTCTTTTTTTTTGTGGTACTTTTTAAGCTAGCCATATTTTTTCATTAGATTAAATAAAGAATTAAAGAAAGAATTAAAGAATTTATATGTTTCATTTGAATCGGTAGTTCACTGTGGATATTTGGGCAAAAGTACAAAAAGAATTTTTGGCCTAGTGATGTCTCAGGTCCTAGGTAGGTTCTCAAAAAAGGGTACTTTGACCGATAGCAAAAAAACGGCTTCCTCCACTTCCTCCGCGGAGCCGGAGCACTTTGAAACATTCACTAAACACTAAGAACACTAAATCCTCACAGTGGAAACAGATTTCAAGTTTTTTTCTGTTGGGACAACAGAATCCGGCGGCGGAGGTTGGAGGCCCGTTGGGCCCGGAAGGTCTAACGGAAGGTGAAAACGGCGAAGCCGGTCAGTGGTCTGTAACCAATAGAAAAGTGTTCGAATATGTGTCAATCTATGACCGAATATCAGAAATAATCTTTGATGTTGCCAATGGACGATTGACCAGAGATTTCTTACTTTGAAGAAGAAAGAAGAAGAACGTTTCATGTTGGATGGCTTTTTTCTGTGGGGGTAAGCACCATATTAGTCTGCCATTTTAGTTTAGCTTGTGAATAAGTGGATTGGATGTTAAGAGAATAGTTTTCTGCGTGTTAAAAACTTGATTTGCATTGAAAGTAGGAATTAAAAAAAATTATCTGGTGTTGACTGGACGGTTACGTTTGCTTGCAAGTTTTAACATGCCAAAACCACAATATTTTCAAAGCAAACAATGGAATAGAGAAGGTATGGATTGGATTACAGGATTTATAATAATTTGACGATAACTTCATGTAGAACGCGACTATCGTGGTGGTGACAGCAGACGGGTAACGTTTAAGCCTGGTCGTCAGGGTGGAAATCAGTATAGTAGGAACCATTGGGGCAATGCTTTACGAGAACACTTAGAAGATGAAGATATTGATATGGGCATTAGTTCCGGCGCTCGTCACCGTTTTAGGAGTGGCAAGAAAAAGGGAAGAAAAGGATCTCCGGGGCCAGCCCAATTTAGAAAGTTGTTGGAAGCACCATCAGGGTGGTATAAAGTTATGGTAAGTTGTTTTTGGAATAATGCAGTTGGGACTTTCATCGGATGACAATTTCTAGATACCATACGGGGAGAAATATGAAAAAAGTTTTCTTCAGAGGCTCTTGTTGGAAAATGTTTCACCATTCCCATTTATGCCTATGGCAGTAAGTTGTGTGTAAAATCTTCAATTCATTTGTATTTAATGTTTGATTTTAGTGGCAGACAAATGGCAATACAAGCATTTTTTATGTTGATGATTTTAAACTGGCAGAGAAATTATTAAGTTTAGATAAAAAAGTGCAGCTTCCAAATGGTTTTAAATTGTTTGTGAGGGTTCATCCAAGTAGCCCCAATGTAGATATGACCGACGTGGTTAAAGAACGAATGAAACAGGTTATGGCAAAAAGATACAATGCAGAAACAAAGGCATTGGATTTGACCAAATTTCATGCTGACCCAGATTTTCAAGATTTGTTCTGCCCTCTTTTTAAACCCATTGTGTTTTTTGCTGTTATTGATATCATATCGGAAAACATACCTGATTTGGAAGCATTAAATTTAACTGACAATAGGATAATGGCATTGGGCTTTTTGAAGAAGTTGCCTATGAAGATTCGCAATTTAAAAATTCTATATATTGGTAATAATAAGGTTAGTTCAGGTTGGAGCGGCTAAATCATAAGTTAGGTTCAATGATTTAATTGGACATGCTATGCCTTGACAGACAGCAGGTGGAGGCCTGGATTAAATTAATTCAAAGAATTTTTTTTATTGTATTTCCAGTGTTTTTTAAAATTGTATTTTGTTTCGATAATTACAAAAATTGATAGCTAGAAAAAAGACAATACTATTTACACACTTTATTTCATCGTATAAAGTTATAGCTTTATACTAAATTTACAATATCTAGAAAATCTTGTTAAAAAGCTATAAAAAGAATTTATTATAAATAATTATTATTGATTGAAGAATTATTGGAAACATATAGTTCCTTAAAATTACTTTTTAAATCTTCCTTTTTTCTACCACCTCTAAAGTAATTGGTTTTTTACACTGATTCATCATTACACTTTTCCGCCTTTTCTGGTTTATTGGGTTCAGTTGAACCACTAGGAAAATCAAGTGAGTTATCTATTATATTTGAAGGACTTTAGATTAGATTAGAAAGATATTTTTATTTGTAATTTTCTTTTAAAACATTAGATTTATAAGTTGATATCCCTTTTTTTTTGTTATGTACTATACACTATATTGGCAGCCAGAGAACTGATCAAGATTGTGTTTTTATTATCAAAATTGCTGGTTTGAGCTGCACTATGTCTTACTAAAATATTTTTAGTGTGAATAGTTGATAATCTTTAATAAAACCCTTGGGCTTTAGATAGTGCCCTTTTTTTATGTTTATTTAGTTTAGATTGATGAGATTACTATTTATCATAAACTAGATGCATAACACACATAAAAACTTAAATTATAAAAAATTATAAAATTATAAAATGCTTTCAAAATTGAAATACGTCAATCACCCTAAGACAAAGGACAACACCAATTAAATACCTTATAGATAGAACCAATGAAATCATAGAACAGCTGCTCATTTTTGTGTTTGTGATGAGTTTGCATCTGTATGTCAACTGTTGTTTTAGCTAAGAGATATTTCACAGTTGGATGCCCTCATTGGTTTACCTTTAATTGAACTTGTATTAGACGGAAATCCTCTGTGCGATAGGTTCAAGGAACAAACTATCTACATAAGGTATGTGTTTCAGGTGTTTTAAGAGAATACCTAATTTGATTTATTGGTTGAGCTTCAACAAAATTAAAGTAACTAAATCTTTTAGAAAGGGAAATGCAGTTAATTTAATTATGTGCAATGAAATTTCAATTTTCTTAATATTAAATTAGATGAATAGGTAAATCAGATATGGCAGAAAGGCAAATGATTTGAGAGTAGAACATTACATTACATTTATGTGTGGTGTTTTGAAAGTTTTTGGGAATATTCAAAAGCAGTTGCTCCTAAATGAAACTAGGCTGTGGTTGTATAGTTGTTCCTGCACCTTCTATCGGTTCTTTTGTGAAGGAAGCCTATGCTTCAAGTAGACAGTGTACTGGATGGTGTTAAACACAGTGCCTGAAGCAGATCTGCAGGTATAGCCTGTTTGAATCTTTAAAGGCTTTCATTAAAAGTCTTCTCATGCAGAAGTGAAGAGTGAAAAGGTTAAAACACCTATATACTGTCAAAAAAAAAGCTGGCATACTCGTCTAGTACTGTTGTAGGTACAGGAATGGTTAAAATTAAATAGCAGTTTTAAAAGAAGCATGTCTCCCTTGAGCAATTAGCTATTGAAATGTCCTTACTTGTATATTGGCTGTTAAAAATAGTTTTACTATTAAATCACTTGTCTTTGTTTCAGCATTTCAAATAACGTGAGAAATTTTGATGTTAGGAAAATTGAATTTTAATTGTAAAGAAATTTGGTCAGTGGTCGAGCTTTCCCTTTTTAATTAAAAGCCATTAAAAAAAATCCATAACCATTTTGTGTATAAGATATTAATGTTGACTTAATTTATGCTCTGAGCGAGTGTTCACAGGATTGTTGTAATGTATTTGAATGAGCCTCATCGGCTCATTATTTTCTGTCTACAGTGAAGTTAGGAAGCGATTCCCCCGATGTTTGAAGTTGGTAAGTTGTATTGCCTTGTATTGCGCTATAAATTTTTGCGTTGCGGCTCATTATTGTTAATATACTCTCAGGATGGCATAGAGTTACCTCCCCCAATAAGCTTCGACATAGCGGAAGAGACGCATCTCCCTGATCCTTGTCAGAAATTTCTCTGTAACAAGGAAGGCGAGCCGATTGTATGCCGTTTTCTTGAAGAATATTTTCGTATCTACGACTCGGAAAATCGGCAACCCTTGCTCAACGCCTACCATGAGCACGCCATGTTCTCGTTCACTACCGCCTATCCATATGGACTCGGTAAAGATAAAAATGTCGCATGGCTGAGTTGGTATAATACCGAGAATAGGAATTTGGTCAAAGTGCAAGATCGCGACAGGCGGTTCAAATTGCTTAAACAAGGACAGCTCAGTGTTGTTTCCTTTATTCAGGATATGCCTAACACTAAGCACGACATACACAGTTTCACATTCGCCCTCACATTTTTTACGGTGAGTTAACTTTATGGTAAAATATAAGTTATTGCGTTTTGAAAAATTAACAACTTTGTTGATTTGTATTTAATGTTTGGAAAATGGAAAATTATTGTTCGGATATGGTTTTTGTTTTTAGCCGCAAATGATATGTCTGACAGTAACGGGCATATTTAGGGAACTTAAAACCGGTCATAAAATACCTCCTACAAGATACTTTTTCCGAACGTTAGTGATAGTTCCCGCTGGTAGTGGGATATGCATAGCAAATGAGCAACTCCACGTGACTAACGCGACTTCCGAACAAGCGCAGGTACGATCAGGCTTTTGCAATGAAATGGTGATATTATTTTACTGCAATATCATAGCATTTTTTTTTACTTCCTACTCTAAAATACTCAAATATGCTTGTGGAACAGGTAGATATTAGTGCTTACATTGAAATCTAATTTTATAAATCTAGATTAAAAGGAAACATACATACTAACTTAGGAAAGTTATATATTTAAACAAAAAGATCTTATTGCAACAGTATTAATAATAGATAAATCTATAACAAAACTTTTTTTTCTACTCCCGTCTGTAAAATACGTAATTACCCACCGATCTAGTGTGCGGGAAGCGTCACTTTACCACGTCAGTTTCGTTTTCCATGAATCCGAGCCACTTCGGACATTTCCGGGATTTTACCGCACGGATTTGGGAGCAATCGGGTGTTTTCGGAGATATTTCCCACGCTTTGAATTTTGACGTTTGTCAATTCTGACGGTCATGTCAGTGAATGTATTCGTGTTGTTTTGCGAAAATCTACCCAAAAAGTAACGGTCGTAGAAAAAGTATAGTATGCACCACGTTCGGTAAACTTTTTAACTCACTGGTTTATTAAAAACTCGATCCGCTGCGCTCCGCTCGTGTCAAACTCGTGAGTCAAATGCCGTTTACCGCACTTGTTGCGTAATATACTATTATGAATCGGTTACAGCTTCGAAGCATACTGTTCAGAGGTGAACAGCTTAATATAATATCACGGAATAGTTTTTGTTGTGTTTTTCTGAACACAATTTTCGGAATGTGTATTGAAATTCTACCAATTAAATGACTGTTTGTACTAACATTATTTAAAGTATAATATATATATCAAACACAGCCGACAGAACAGTGCCCTCCTGGTACTTCTTATGTTGAATTCACCCAACATTGCATTATAAAAGATCATAAAAGATATGAGCTTCATCAATTTTTTTTCGGACATTTTCAATCATGTGACAATTAATTTCTCTCAAAATGCTTAGGGTTTTTAATCCTAAGGCTTTAAATCGTTTACTCACGGTGCTCCGATAATGGATGCTAAGCGTTGCTTACTGATGTATTTCTAGATCCCTACATTGAAATTTTCTATCAAGAACTAAATTATTTTTATGACATTTGATTACATCTAGTTTTCACAAAACCACACTGTAACACTAGTTAAGTTTTTCTGTTAAGTTACATAATCTTCAATTCTCTTAATAATCTTAAACAGTTTAAAGTCATACTTTTAAATGTCAAAGCTAAACTTATAGAAAAAACAGTGCTGTGATTTAGCGTTAAGTGGATGTTTGAATTTCATAAAATTAAATTTTGGGGTAACGCCGTTTTTTTTTGTATTGGTACTCTGTTTTACTTATGAAAAATGCCTCTCAGCATCTTTTTAGAACTTTAAAAACCGCGCGTATGTTAATAATCTCCAAGAGAAACGATTGTGTATTTTATCTTTTTGAGCAGTATTAATACCAATATTTTTCAAATTATTATGAAAATGTGCTACTGTTACTGTTTTAAAATCAGCCAAAATCGTTGGGATTTGTAACGGTGAAATTAAAGGAGTCACTGCTTGTAAATTTAGGGAACTGAAAATTTATTTAGTCGAAAATGACGATTAAAAATTTACACGTTTTTATTCACTATAGATAACACTGATAATCTATGTAACATCTGTTTTTTATGCCACTTGAATATGTATATTTCCTGTACAGTTGAATTTTTTGACTGACTGGCCAGCAAGCGATAGTTCGTTTTTGTAGCGCAGCAGCAGCGCAGCAATCGTTTCTCGACAGGCGACATTTGTAGATAGATAGATATATAGAACTTTATTTATCTGGAACTTTTACAAGTTAAGGTTTTATCATCCCGATAAATATTTATAAATGTTAATAAACCATAAATATCACAGGCTATATACATAACCACACATAACCGTAATCGCTCTATTTTATAATTTAAAAATGCTGGTACTGTGTCCCCATAATGAAACGGCATAAGAATTTTTTTCAAGATTTGCATTTTATTTTTATTTAAGAGAAGATTATGGACACCAAAATATCTTTCGGCTAGAACAGACGAAGTTTCAATGTTGCCGCTGGAGGTAACAAATGTCGTGTCATCCGCAAAGCGGGAACATTTGACAGAAATCATATAATTAATTACTCAAATCGTTCGCATGTACGACAAATAGCGGACTCAAATGTGCGCTTTGCGGTACTCCAGATTTTAGTTCCTGGGCGTTTGAAATTTGGTTGTTAAAGAAAACCAGTTAAGATCAATTTTTTAGATAAATCTCGAGAAGTTTCAAACACTATTCCACAATGTTCTAATTTTTGTAATAAAACGCCGTCAAAGGCGTTGGACAAATCGCATATAGTGTAATGACACTTCGTTTACGTTTTTCAGAAAAATGCACCAATCTGCTCTCTAAAACTTTCTCCATTATCTTCCCAAATGTTGTAATAACACTTTATTCTTTAGGAAGCGTTCAAGGGACCTTCGATAGTACCGGCTCCCGTGCCAGGCACTTCAGCTCCTCCCTCTACTCCGGAGGCGGTTGTGCCAGTGCCGGTCGCGGCGCCCGTGCTCTCCGACGCAGCAAAAAAAGAATTGATCGAGCAGATCGCCTTGAAAACGGGAATGAATTTGGAATATTCTATTCAGTGAGTCGCGAAAAAATAATTTTGAAAAAGTGTTTTATTTATATATTTCGTTTTTTAAATGTCAGATGCTTGGAGGGAAACGAATGGGACCTTTTCCGGGCCTTCGCCGCCTTCGAAACACTTAAGAGTCAGGGATCCATCCCACCTCAGGCTTTTGTAAAATGATATATGGATTTTGCGCAAAGCAATAGTTCTTGTAGTTTTGGTTAATTTATTCTGGTTGTAAATGTTGTTATCGGTTACATATTTAGTATGCCAATCGATTGCACTGATGCCTGTATATAGATAGATATATATATATATGGTGTATATAATATGATGGTTACTATGTACATTTTAACATTTTCTGTTGATGAAAGTTGGAGTAATATAGCTTTATCAAGGAAGGAATTAATTGGTTGCTATACTGCTTTTTGCTACGGTTTGAAAATTTTACATTATTCCAACATTCAGATTATCTGAAATTATGTACAGAGATGGTTGTTCCTCTTGGAATGCGATAAGGTATGGGAAGGAAAAAGGAAAAGTTACCCTAGAAAAATTTTCTTTCCTAAAATTATTCGAACTGATTATGAAGAATAATTTTTTAAGTTTTTTTCTTTTCTCTTCTCGTCTCCTTAGTTGATCCAATTGAATTTTTGTTCTTTGCTTTGTATATTTTCTATTCCATCTTTTTCAACAATGTTTTAATTTTTTTTATATATATAATAAAAGAAATGTGAGCAGTATATTTTTAATAAATTTTTTTAAGTAGTGTGTTTTATTATCAGCTTCCAAAAAATCAATTAAATTTACTCTTTTTTTATTGGAATCAAAAATATATTCATCATGTTTATCAGCAACTTCAAAACAGTTGAAGCTAGATGTTGGGCGACATACATCGTAAATTTTCGTCATAACACAAATATAGTTATGAACAGGGTGTTTTATTTAAAATATCGAAGTTGTTATAACTTCTAAGTACATATGGAAATAGCGCTTTAACATAAATCTCGTAATATTTAATAACTATAGCAAATATTTTATTACGCTGAATTCTGTAGCACAACTTTTCTCGGTTTATCATGATGTTATGGTGGATGCTCTAAAAATTTGATTTTTTTTTTCGGCACCGTGGACTATTTATAACGTAAATTATTGTTGCGAAAAGTATTATCAATTGCTAATGGTCTTAGAAAAAGTATAGTATGCAGTCGTAGCTAAAATAGCCTTTATCAAACTTGCTGAATAACATACTATAAAATAACTTCAAAATAAGAAAAAAAACACTTTGGATCATTTGTACTGCGTTGATTGCAATAAATTAGGAATCGTCCATAATTATTATAAAAAATAAATTATTAAAAATTTGCAAAATATTGGCTTGACTTGCTTTCAAACTCAAGGGAAAATGCTTTAAATCAATGTCAACGTGTTTACACTATGAATTACTTCTTCACAATGTGTTTGATATAAAAATTTTTGGCTAGTTGACTGCAGGTACTTAAATGAAATCACCTGTTGGCCAAACATTCCCAAAGGTAAAATTTATAATACGTGTTATTAACTTCAAGGTGAGTAAATAATTAGTCGGTTTGAAATAGATGCGGGTGAAAATTTTTTAATTTTTTGTGGTTTATATAAACCGTCCGATAAAATTTTCTTCACGGTGAAAATATTTTTATCGGGTACGGCACCATTAAAGTACTCAATGGCGAATAGATTGTTTTACGAGGGTTGCTACTTCCGCATATATCATTTACAACTGTAATAATTATTCCAGATTTATAAACAGCCTTTGACAAGCTTACAATTTTTGAACTTTTTAATAATATACGGAATGATAAATATTTAAAAATGTAATTTTTACAGTATGTTAACAATTTTTGCGGATTTTGTTAAAATTTGGGGATAAGGACCATTAACTTTTTTGCAATTTTTGTTATTTGAATAAGCCATTTTTAAAATCAAAATTGTCTAAACAAAAACGTATTTTTATTATATTTTTCTTTTTTTCTCAAGCCGAACGCTGGGGCATGCTTTTAAACCATGCTGTACAGGGGTAGGCGAAAAAAAAGGATATGGTGTTGATTTTATTGACTAACTTTATTGAAAATCGATTACTTATTACTATATCACTTTCAACGAACTTAATTTCGCAATTTGCTGAATATCACAGAAATATCAAGTATTAGCTTGTATAGTTAAAGCTTCGAGGCTGTTGAGCAAGATAAAACAATATATACAACGGGACAAAGCGCAAAGTCACCACGGCCGCCAAATACTCGAAGAGCTGCTGGATTCGCTCTCGTTGTCACTTATAGGAGACGGCGAACCCCTGGACGAAGGTGGACTTAGCGGCATCGTAAAATTTCGATCGCTTCCGTAGCCAGATCCCACGGAGATCACCAAAGGAGCGGCGGTGGTGTTGTTCATTTCGTTCAGACGTTGACCCAGATGGGTCATCAGTTTTTTCCCCAAACGAATGTCGACGTCAGGAGTCGAAGCTAAAGTTTTCGATACCTCTCGAGCGCAAGTCGTATATCCCGCCCTGAACCTGTCGGCTTCTGCCACCGGGGTGCTCAACTGTTGCTTGCGAAGCTTATGAAGGTGGCTGACGGTCAGTTCCAATATATCAGCCTTTTCTAATTTGGCCGCGTTTTCACCTTCCGTCACTAACGCCGCGATCATCAACTCTTTCAACTCTTCAAGGCAGCGGTTGATACGTGCCCGTCGTTTACGTTCGAGTAGCGGCTTCATCACTTTCCGGTACTGCATAGTCCTGGACATTGGAGCCGCGTCGTACGACTGATTATGGAAACGTTCGAAAGACATCGCAAAAACACTAACAAAACTCTCGTCACTAATTTTTATTACGTCCGTACGCTTCGAGCGCTAGACTCAATATGACTGACGGCATAGATAAGCGTTGGTTTTATAAGAAGGGACGGGGGACCAGGTGCTTAGCCCTGTGGAACGCTATCGTGGGAATGTGTATCGGAGTGCGTCAGAACAGTTAAGGGAATTATGCGTAAGGGGCATATGCTTTTTGACGGAGGGTATTATAATCGGAGCGGCCAGAATGTGGGAACGTGTGCTTAGCACGTGAAGGTCGCGCGCGGATATTTTGCGTTGTATATTTACGTTCAGGATTTTTAAATTTTTGATTTTTTTTCTACGGCGAACAACCCGACACGACCTTCGGATTGTTTACTTTAAAATACACCGCTGGACATTCGAAGCGGGCGAGAAATTTGTCAACCATTCTCAGCGGTCTATTAATGCTAAATAAAAAAACATACTATACACGAAACCACTGAGAAATTTGCAATTTTACAAGTGCGGTAAATAACTTATAAAGTTTACCGAACGTGTTGTATAATATACTTGTTCTACGACCGTTAGTTTTTGGGTACAATTTCACAAAACATAACGAATTACATTCACTGACATGACAGCCAAAATTCAAATTCAAGACGTGCTGTAAAATCCCGGAAATATCCGAAGTGGCTCGGATCCGTGGGAAAGGAAATTCGCGTGGCAAAGTGACGCTTCCCGCACGCTAGTTCGGTGTATAATTAGGTATTTTACAGACGGCAGTAAAAAAATAGTGTATTATGCAACAAGTGTGGTAAACGTCATTTGACTCACGAGTTTATTTGACACGGGCGGAGCGCAGCGGAGCGAGTGTTTAATAAACGAGTGGGTTAAAAAGTTTACCGAACGTGTTACTTACTATACTTTTTCTACGACCGTTAGTTTTTGGTTACATTTTCCCAAAACAGTACGAATAAATTCACCGACATGACTTTCAGAATTGACAAACGTCAAAATTCAAAGCATGGGAAATATCTCCGAAAACATTCCGTTGCTCCCAAACCCGTGTGGTAAAATCCCGGAAATGTCCGAAGTGGCTCGGATTCGTGGGAAACGAAACTGACGTGTTAAAGTGACGCTTCCCGCAAGCTAGACCGGTGGGTAATTTGGTATTTTACAGATGGGAGTAGAAAAATATATTTTTTTGTAAAACGACCCGCCGCGAGAACCGTTCTAGAACTTTAATGCCCAGTCGCCCAAACGTTTTTCGACACATCGAATGCTTGTAAAATTTGAGAAATTAATTACTACGGTGGGTTGAAACAAAACTTGTAACAGAAATTACTTAGGGTCTATAATATCCGAATTATGTCACCGTATATAAAACTTTTGTTCCTAATATTCGTTAATAATTCGTTGATAAATTAGAGATAGCATTTTTTTGCAAATATCGAATTTTACCCCGCTTGCTGCAGTCTGTGTATAAAAAAATGTTTTCGCATTTTGGCGGTGTTGTCAATGAAGAATTGGATTTAATATGATTTTCAATAGTTTTTTCTACTCCCGTCTGTAAAATATCTAATTATACACAAATATAGTTTGCGAAAAGAGACACTGCCACGGATCCCAGCCACTTCGGACATTTCCGGGATTTTTCCGCATGTGTTTGGGAGCAATCGGATGTTTTCGGAGATTTTACCGCACGGCTTGAATTGTGACGTTTGTCAGTTCTGACGGTCATGTCAGTGAATGTATTTGTATTGTCTTGCAAAAATGTACCCAAAAACTAATAGTGGTAGAAAAAGTATAGTATGCAACACGTTTGCTAAACTTTTTAAGTAACTCATTTACAAAACGTGTTGCATAATATATTATTTTGTTTGGTATTTATTTTTAGACACTTATATGTATGCTGATGTATAATTTTTACTTTAATTGTCATCTCTGTTCTGTAGATGCTACAGGAAAAGTGAAAACTGACTTTAGGCTTCACCACTGATCAATTCTTTTTAATTTTTTTAATTTAGTTAGAGTACTTTATTTATACTACTTTACTACTTTACTTCCTTGTATAAAATACATAATCATTTTACCACTTGAGTCTCGCTTCACACGGATCCGAACCAATTTGGACATTTTCGGAGATATTATCGCACATATTCATTTCCGAAATGATGTATCCACATGTACGGTCAAAATTGTGCCAAAAATAGTCTTCAATCTATTTTTTAACTGCGTTTATTTAAAAAAAAATGACTAATTTTTACAAACCTTGTATGACAGATTCTCCGTGATGAGGTTTAATTTCAAAAAGAGTTGAAATTTGAAACGCACCTAATGTAAAATACAATTTACTAAAAACATTTCATGCCGTTAAAATTTTTGAAAAAGTATCCTAAACACCTTTGTTAAACTTATGAGATATTTTTACATCCGTAACTGGCCGTTGTTTGCTCACCAACCTTCCGATAATCACAAATTATTTTGAGCAGTGGTCGGATTTAGGGGATTTCCGAAAAAGGTCTATCTTAACAATAACCTATTACCTGGAAAAAAGGTAACATCATCAAATCAAGTCAAAAGTCAATTTTAGGGTTTTAATATTTTTTGTTTTAAAATCTGTTCTCGCTGCTTTGAAGATGTTTATTTCAACATTATTTCAGACTATTACTAAATTAATAATTTTCTCTGGTTTTGAGAAACAAACTAGATGGATCCAAAAGATTCAAGTCACGTCGTGATTCTGTAGCTCTTCCTGACTTGATGTATATTTTAATTCAGTGGCGTTACAATATTGTTCATATATTAATAATTATGCTGCCACCGTAACATTGAGACGCACTGGGCCCAGTCAGCTCGCCCTATTCTGACTACTATGGGATAGAAAGATTATAGATCATCTCTACATCAGCAGTGTTCTCAAGAGAACAAACAAGACTTTATACCACTAGAAGTGATAGTTTATGACAACTGATAGAGCAATCACTAAAATTACGAACGAATAGTACATTTGAAGACAACAAAATGATTTTTTCTAACCAAATTACCACAGGTAAAACTTCAGTTGGTCAAAAGGCGTCAAATGAGTCCAAGCTAAAACTTTACGTAGCCAGAAGGCGTCACATGAACCCAAAGTTTAAATTTTATGAAGTCGGAAGGTGTCACATGAACCCAAGCTAAATCTTTATTTGGTCATAAAGTGTCACATGAGGCCAAGCTGAAACTTTACGTAGCCTGAAGGAGTCACATGAGCCCCAGCTAAATCTTTAATTAGTCAGAAAATGTCATATGAGTCCAAGCTAAAACTTTACATAGCCAGAGGGCTTCGCATGAGCCTAAACTAAATTTTTACTTAGCCAAGTTAAAATTTTACATAGTCAGAAATTTTGTTCGTATATTGATAATTACTAGGCGCTAACAGGTTCATGTTTATAAAGAATTAAAAATGATTAATTGGTAAAGGAAAAACATTTGACTTCTTTGAAATTTTTGAATAAGTAGCCGAGAAATATCGATGTTAAACGTGAGAGGCGATTTTTTCATATCAAATAGAACGAATATAATGGATGATGATATTTTACACTCCGTAATTGGTCGTTGATTACGCAGAGGCCTTCCGATACCATTAACCACAAATTATTTTGGCAGTTCTCGGATTTGGGGGATTTCCCAAGAAGGCTTATCTCAACAATATCCTGCTACCTGGAAAAAGGTAATATCATCAAATAAAGTCAGAAGCCAATCTTAGAGCTTTAATATTTTTGGTTTTAAAATATTTGCTATGCTGTTTTAAAAATGTTTATTTTCTCCCAAGGGATTTTTGAATTTATTTTTTAAACGAATTAGTGGTATAAATTTCCAACGTATAATAATAATAATATTTTAGAAACGGAAAATATGACTTATATTATTTTCATTATAAAGGTTTTTATCACTTTAATTTATTGATTTGAAGAATTTTTGGTTTTCGCAAATGAGAAATCTTGTATCATCAATTAATTATAATTACAAAGCAACTCCCCCATATTTTTATTGTCTTCTAATAACGTGGCGAAAAGACTTCTATACTGCTATTAGTTGCGTTATCGCTAGAACATTTATTTTTTTCCTTTCTAAAATTGCCCTTTTTTAATTTAGAAAAACAGTTTTTTGTTTAATCATAAAAAATGAAAAAAGATACTTTTTTCTTGTAAAAACTATTGGCGCGCTTGGTAGTCAACTGTTGAATCAAACAAAATCGGCCATAAGATTGTTAGCATGTTTATCAGAATCGATTTTTCGAACAGTTTGATGTCTCTTTTCCCTTAAAGTGTGGGAGCTTACTTTTGTAACACCCTGTATTGAATAAATAAAAATCATCTCAACGTTAAATTGGTAAGAGAGACAGAGAGGCAGCGAGTATGTACGGCTTGGGAAAAAAGTAGACAGCTGTTGATTTGCGAATGACCCAGCGAACGGTAGTTACGGAGAGATCTATTAAAGCGTGCCTAGCACGCGTTCCCACGGTAAGTCTATACACGCTCGGAATGTCATATTAAATAGCCGACATATGCGGGCACGATAACTACATGTTATCCATGTACGGAAACGCCGAACTCAATCGAGTATCAAAGACGGTTGACATCTACAGAAATTGACCCTTTAGTAAGGATGATGTCCCACTTACACTTAAGGAAATATCTTACTTTAGAATAATGCCAAAAGTAAGTTTTATATTATATTTATATTATTCTTATTAAGTAAAGTAACCATTTATTTCAAAAAAATTATTAACTTCAAGTCAAGTTTGATTGTTTGTTTCAGGTATCGACTAGGTGCGCACTATTTCTGAGGTATATAATGTTTTGTTGCATTTATATCTCATATTTATTTATTTATAGATAAATGTTATATAGAAATAACAGTTCTCAAACAGAATTCAAAGTATTTTTAACAAAAATAATAAAATTTATATATAGGTAATATAGGTAATAAAAAAATGAACAAATCGTACTCAATTAATAAGTAGAATAATGCTAATCCTTAAAAACCACGATTATGCTTTTCTTTTAATTATCACTCAGGTACTTATTTA